GTGTAGTAAGAAGGTTTTGGGTGGAATTAGGGATGCAGAATAATGCAAGTAATAAGACAGTAACACCATGAACTGAATAGTACACTAAGATATAACTGTTTTCTATTTAAATCTGTTTTAAGATGTAACATGCTCCTGTGAATAAAAGCTGAATTTCAGTATGCATTGCTACTGTATAGTCTTCGAGTTTCACATGATTCTTTAGAAATAATTGCAATATACTGATTTGGAAATCTAGAAAAAAATTTTCGTCAGTAATATCTGAGAAACAGCATGTAAAAAAAACAGTTTACTTTAAATAGATTTAGTTTTGTATTCTCAGTGTATGCACTTTGATAAATGCATTTATGCGAAGCTGGAAAAAGCTCATTCTCACTTTTGAGGGTATTTGAAATTTTAGGGTACTTTGGCATTTTTGTGACAAAAGCCTATAAGCAGAATGTGTTTATTTGTTATAAAGGAAAGTGTAAATAATATGACATGTGTCCAGTGTATTAGTACTGAACCTGTGCAGCTCTCTCCGCTCTGCTTCGGCCTGCTGTGACTCCTGTAGACTCAGCTCAATGGCAGTCTGCAGATCATCTTTAGCAGGTCCTGAGAACAAGTCCAGATAAACGAGGACAGGAGAATTCCATGAGCATACAATAAACCTCATAGTATTATCTGTGTCACTGCCATATAAATAACTGTGAAAACTGTGATGACATAAAAGTCATCTGGTATTAATAGTGTGTTTTCAGCCCACCGTTCTGTGCACTGGAGGTGTTCTTCTCATTATTGGCTGTGGTGGTTTGCTCTGGCATGTGCTCCTCTTCTGGGGGCTGAGTGGTCAGGAGCCCAATGGCATGGCTGATGTCACCCTGACCGGCCTGGATAAAAGAGGTTTCCGGCAATTAGTCATTAGATACTAGTGATATACAAATAAAGATTTAAGGTATTCTGAAATAGGGGTGCAAATGTACACATATCGGTTTTGATTCAGAAAACGTTTACCAAAAATACAGTGTTTTTTAACCACTGCCTATGCATAACCTCTAGTTTAAAATAACTTCATTTTAACAAATCAGCATCAGATCTTAAACCTTGAGATCGAGTGTTTAGTTTAAGCTCTTTAAGTCAATGCATGAATAAAGCGTAAGCATACATACATTATGCAACAGATTTCCTGGCCAATAACCACAAGAGGCTTTCTGTTCGATCATTTTTGATTAGAAGCAAAGATTTAAACTTCAAGTTCTGCACATCTTCTTCAAATTAAAAAAATAATTGTTGTTTTGACACTCTTTGAAGTGATATGATGTGAAGGAATGCTGTATATTCCTTCTTCATTAATAGCAGCAAATAAATATGAATGGACATCTCATGTATTTATTCAATCAATCAAGCCTAGAAACAATATAAAATTACATTTGTCTCAAACAAATCCAATGACTTTTGCTTTCCCTATAAAACCCAAATTTTTGGTATAGCTAGATCCTCTATTTTCTATTCCATTTAAGCTACAAGAAGACCTGATGGTTTTAGCAAAGCCATAAAATTTAGTTAATTAAAGCCACTTTGTAAATGATTATAATTCAACAAGATGAAGCAGAAAAAAATACGTAACACCTAAATACAACGGTTCACTGGTTAATGTTAGTTAATGTTTTTTACTAAAATGAAGTATGAACAGTCTTGTACAACATGTATTAATGTACAGTTCAACGTTTATTAATGCATTATTGAACTACAAAGTTGTACTTGTTAACATTAGTTCAAGCACGCGAACAATGTTATTTTCATTAAGTAACATCAACGATGAATAAATACTGTAATAAACGTATTGTTCACTGTTTGTTTATGTTAGTTAATACATTATTTTTTATTTATAATGGATCATTATTTTAATGTGTAACCAATAATTGTAAACTAGAAAATTATAATGTAAAATGTAAATGCTCTCTGCAATTTACATGTGGTCATGCATATTTTAATTTAAGAGTTGATATTTAAGAAGAGTACATAACAATTTATTGTAATTCTTTGGGCTTTGTTAATTAATAAAAGTAAGCATTTAAATGTATATAGTAATGTGAAAGTAATATGGCTTCCTCTTTAACAGCTGAAACTATAATTACATGTATTTAAAGGCAAATTTAAGCTAGTTTAATAAAAAGGGCAGTTTTGTACCAAATGTAACAAACAACACTTTAAAACAAATGTTTGTACCATTACACCCTTAACCCTTGTGTTCTCTTCAAATTGACTACCCTTTCATTATGTTGGTGGCTGTTTTTGCCCCATTGACTTACATTAAAACTAAAATTTTTGATCGCAAAGCCTTGACACCAAATAATCATGCATTCTTGATTGTTGGTGTTTTTTGCTGTTGAAAAGGGGTCTAACATTTCATTTTTTACTGTTAACCATCAGTTGGCAGCATTAACCCTTTAGAAAGGCCTGTGCGAAAAAAAAGTTACTAGTTTTTATATGGAGTTCTATGGAGTAAAACAGCAAATGAAAAACTACCATGTTTACTATTTTCTGAGTGCTGAAAAAATTGTAGATTTACCTTTCCCCAACAGGGAAAACCAGCAACAATCAATAATGCATGATGGTATGGTGTCATGGCTTTGAAATCAAAACTGTCATTACAATGGAAGTCAATAGGCAAAAACAGCCACAAACATAAAGAAAGGGTATTCAGTTTGCCCAAAGTGTGTTGTTACATTTTTGAAAGTGTTCAAAGTATTTCCCCAAAATATTTGTCAAAATAAGATTTGTCAAAAATCTTTCCATTTGCTGAAACATAGAGAAAGTTGTGGCCAAATGAAGACTCAAAATCACCCCAGAATGGATGAAAATATCAGCGCACAAGTGTTAATCTGAACACATGTACTCATTAGCACCACATCTAGGTTGCCCAACACACATCTCTGAATGTAAGAGAAACTCTCCCACATGGTATGCTTTACATATTTACAAACATTTGTCTGGCTTATTTTCTATTAATAGGCGTGTCAGTATCATTACATCTGCTGCTCGCATTATAAACACCCAGATAAGTGAACATACGTTCAGGGCGCTTTGGAGAACCTGCGGATCCTGAATGCCAGTAATCTCTCTGAGCTGGTTAAGTAGCATTTGGCTCTGAAAAAGACAAGCAAACATGCTGTTTTTTAATTTCAAAGGATCAAAAATCCAAATGCATCACCACAGGCATATTGAGAGTACTTCTGTTCATGATAACAAGACTCACTTGAGCAATTAACTACTCAATAACAGGAACCGTTCCAGAGAAAAAAAGAGCAGGTGTGAACCGATGAGTTCAAAACAAGAATATGATATGAGACACAATTTGCACATGGATTTATCACCCAGCATAACTGCAATTCAGGTGCCAAACGAGCGTGGGATGGAGGGAGTCTGGACAAAATTTACATCTCCTGCATGAAAACGTCCACATCAGATTTGATTTTTAAAGTACAGTAGGTCTGAAAGTAGATTTCAGCTTGGCATGCACCATGTAAACATTTAAAAATCTGTCCCAGATAATAGATGCAGGAGGCACAGAACTAAATAAAGAAACTCTGACAGCAGGTGGGAATGTCGGCATGGCTGTGGAGGAAGCCAGACACCCTAGACTGGGAGCAGGAGACATATATGGTGAGCTGGAGGCCTGTGAGCCGCACTCAGAGCTCTATTTTGGGCCTTCGACACAGATAGCGCTTGTGTTTATCATAAATGAGCTTGAATGACACACAAAGACAAGAAAAATGCCATAATTCCTATATTTCATCCAGAGGATGGCATTTAAAGCCTAGAAGAATACATAAAATAAAATAAAATAAAATAAAGCACTTCAGAATTCCAATGACTACAAAAGGTTTGCTGAAGTATCATAGCTTGGAAATAAAATCATGAAACAAATGAATAATAATAATAAAATTCTAAATATTATCTTTCATTTCTAGAAAATTGTGCTTTTGGATTTTGTGTAAAGCATGTCAGAACTGCTTTGCTGATGCTTTTTAAGGAAGAAACTTTGAATTAAGAGTCGTTCTGGATATAATTAGTCCAAATAAATAAGTCTATAAATTCCAACATATTTTCAGATGTTTAAAACGTATACGTTCTATGTAAATTAAATAGTGCAAAATATTCAGCCTACAAGCAAAATAAGACAGTTACTGTATCTGCTGTGTCACTGTGTGATGTCATGAACACAATTTGAACGCATTTTTCTTTCCAAAAACACTCACCGAGTTTTCAGACGTTTCCCCATGTTCAAATTCTTGTTCAACTCTCATGGCAATATCTCTTTTATAAATAATTCTCCAGACTGATTCGCCCTGAATCCAGAGTGTGACCTACTCCATATGCCCCACGGACACACACACACACCCACACAAGTGCACAAATGCCGAGAGGGACAAACGCTCAAGTGCGCGTGCTGGGAAACGTCGTGCGCGCGCTTGGTAAACTGTCATTGAAATGCGAAGGTACGTCAACCGGCTAACCCGTAGCCTACTAGTATTCATGACAGAGAATCATTAAACGAATTTAATGAATAAATAGTTAAATAAAAAGACTAAAAATGATAAAGGACTTAAATTCTAATTAAATACATAAATGAACTTGAAATTTCCTTTTTTTGTAATTTTGTTTAATTTCGTTGATGATAGTAAAGCTATTCAGTTCCTTCTTTTAAACCTAAAACTTTCTATAGGATGCTATTATTCAATCATTTCTGTTCGGCTTAGTCCCTTTATTCATCAAGGGGTCGCCACAGTGGAATGAACCGCCAATTTATCTAGCATATGTTTTTTCACAGCGGGTTCCCTTCCAGCTGAAACCCAGTACTGGAAAACACCCATACACACTCATACACTACACGGCCAATTTAGTTTATTTGATTCACCTAGCACATGTCTTTGGAGTGTGGGGGAAACCAGAGCACCCAGAGGAAACTCACGCCAACACTGGGGGAACATGCAAACTCCATAGAGAGCCAACTGACCCAACCGGGACTTGAACCAGCAACCTTCTTGCTGTGAGGTAACAGTGCTAACCAGTGAGCCATCGTGTTACATAGGACGCTAAGATATTTGTGTATATTCATTAGATTAGTCAAAAACACATTTTGGAACTAGTCTAACACAATAGTTTAAGACTACGGTACAAAACTTTGCACACCCGCAATAAATGTGTAAAACATATGGATTTAATTTGATAAACACATGTTTCAGATGACTGTATAATTATGAATATGTATTTATGACTCATATGCTTTACATTATATGTTTAGAGTTGTGAATCCAGCAGTCAGAGTACACACATCCTATTTACTAAACCCAGATCTTCTTACCATCATAATGGAAAATCAATTTGCCTGAGTGCCTGAGTGAGTTGCTGTCGTGCGTTTGTTGCAGTCATGCATACAACGACTGTTCTGAAGCGCCTTTGTATTTTGCTGGAATAAACGTCTCTGATTATTGGGTGAAATTTTAAAAGGGAGTGAAAGTGATTTGAGTAAGTTTGGGTTTTCTTCTGGAATTGAATCATCAGGATGAGTCCTGTCCTCTTGCTGTCTTTGTTACTGTCAGGTAAGTCCATTGTTTCTTGTTTTTTTTTCTGTATTAATTATAGACTAATAATTTTTAAAGCTGCTTGCATTAAAACTTGACATTCAAAGTATACACCAAAACTACAAATGTTTAAGATTATATAAAAAGTCACTTGACTTTTGGTGGTAGGTTGTGTATAAATGTGATTTTCATGGTATGCGTGTGAATAAATTCTGTATGCTCCCAAACTATATGCAACATTCTAAAAAAATCCTTGGATGTTTTAATCCAATGTTGGGTGAAATATGGTCAAACCCAACAGTTGGGTTTAAAATCTGTGTTGAAATTTTATTTTAAAAATCATCCCAATATTGGGTTTGTCCATATTTTACCCGGCATTGGGATAAAACAAGCCATCATTTTTAGAGTATAATCTTAAGCAAGATCTGCAACATTTCTTTACAGTTATTCCACTGGCTGAATTAGTCCCGGAAAAACCAAAGAGATCTGCTCTAAACCAACTCACCCGGTTACTGCTTCGCAAATACAACTGTGGAGTTCGGCCTGTCCAGAACTGGACTAAACCCACTACAATTTACATTGACCTTATCATCCAGGCTGTCCTGGATGTGGTAAGAGCATTTCAATTTTTAGTGTGATACAGTGTAAAAATACTGGATTGTTGTACCGTTGGATCAAAGATGGACAAATACAACCTTTGTGTTAGTCATTGTAATTTAAATTAAAATGGGAAAATTAACCAAACATTCTGTAGGTTTTGTCCATGTTTGAGCAGTATTGGGGTACATTACAATAAAACATTTTTTTAGAGTGTACTTGTGTATACAATAACGGTCATACCATAACCAATATTTTATATCAAGCTTTTTAAATACAATGGAACATTAACCTTTGTTAACTAAATGCATTTAAATTGGTCCCATCTCAACAAGTTTCACCCATCTTTTCACAGGACGGACAGACTCAAAAAGTGACCACCAGCATCTGGTATCGCCAAGTTGGTATCAATTATTTTGTCTAATTAGTGGTAATGATACTGATTAAATTAGTTGCATGATTATATATGGGTAAAATTATAAGCATCAAAACAAATGCAAAAAACAGCTTTAATATTTGCTTGTTTTCCTTTTTATTTTTTATATTTGTGAGCAGATAAAATGACCTCAGTGTTACAGAATAGATTTACAGAATATAACCACCAAAATGTAATTCAGAGCAATAACAGTTCATATGCTAAAAAATCTTATCAGGCATTATCTAAAACAAAAATATTTGATGACATATTAAAAGACTAATTTAAGCATCACAGTGTAGTTCAGTTGTATTTTTAAATAATTATATTCTTCAAATCATTTGCCCATTATTCAGCAAGCCATTTGTATTCACGTAAAATGTAATAAAATGTATTATAAGCACTTATTATTATTTATTTAAGCAAAGGTAAAAGGTTTCATGATATCTGCAACACTGAATCGTGATGAAACACTATTTCACCTATTTTTACATTTTATTTTCACAGAAGTTCACTGAAATATTGAAGCAGATTTTTAACTTTTTTAAATAAGCTTTATATAAGCTCACTTTTTTTTGGCTTATTTAATTTGATGCAGACACCAAAATGAGATTTTACCCATATGCCAGTACAGTTGGTTATTGTTGGTACCTGTTTTAAGTGCTTAAAATCAACCCTTGAGATCTTTGACCAGAATATTTACTGTAATTCTAAATATTTAGTAGGGATGAACCAATGTGACCACAGGCAGATATTGGATTAATTTAAAGTTATCGGCAATCAAATAAATTTTATTTCTGATAGCAAAATCCTTAAATACTTGCAATATTTACATATAGCAGCAGCACTGCCTTTATCTCTTAAGTTAATTAAAATAATGTTCTTACTGTACGTCAAATCAATTTCGTAAAAAAAAAAATTAAATAGCGAAAATCTTTTCTGACGATTGTCATATTGTAATTTGTTTTTTTTTTACTTGTGCCTTTCTTAAAATGTTGGAAAGTTGAATGTTAAATAAATCCAATCCATGTTTAGTACAAACAATTAAATGGAGAAAAATATTAGCTAGTTAACGTATATTACGAATAATCAGTGGTGTAAAGGAACAAATTACAAATACTCAAATTACTGTAATTGAGTAATTTTCTCAGGAATTGTACTCTACTAACTAGTTTTAAAAATGTGCACTTTTACTTTCCCTTGAGTACATTTTTAGTGCAGTATTGGTACTTTTACTCTACTACTTTCCTTCAAACTGCAGTCACTACTTTATTATTTTGTATGTGGATTAGAAAAGAGGCAGCGCAGTAGGTAGTCGCAGGTCGCAGGTTCGAGCCTCGCCTGGGTCAGTTGGCGTTTCTGTGTGGAGTTTGCATGTTCTCTGCGTTGGCGTGGGTTTTCTCTGGATGCTCCGGTTTGTCCAAAGACATACGGTACAGGTGAATTGGGTAGGCTAAATTGTCCGTAGTGTGTGTGTGTGTGAATGAGTGTGTGTGGAACCCAGAGATGGGTTGCGGCTGGACGGGCATCCGCTGCCTAAAAACGTGCTGGATAAGTTGGTGGTTCATTCCGCTGTGGCGACCCCGGACTAATAAAAGGACTAGGCTCGAACCAGCGACCTTCTTGCTGTGAGGCGACAGCACTACCTACTGCGCCACTGCTTTGCCGGTGTATAATATGTATAATTACATATAATACGGATATTACTGTATGCAACACACAATATTATTATCTAAATCTGAATTGGTCAGAAAGTTTTTCATATCAATGAATCCCTAATATTAAAGAGATTGTTCACCAAAAAATTAAATAAAAATGATATCATCATTTACTGCACCTTTAACTTGTTCAAAACCTATTTTGAGTTTTTTTCTTTTGTAAAACACAAAAGAAGATATTTTGAAGAATGTTAGACATTTTTTACTACACTATAATATCCTGGGTTCCACACAATCAATTTGTGTTGGAACAACATGAAGGGTTAGGATAACTTATTAGTTTTTACAAATTTAAGTAGATTGAACATAAAACAATTATGTTTGTTGCAAAAACCTAGTAGGTCGACAAACAGCAAACATAATTTCTTTTAATGTAATGACGTCGATGTGTCCAAACAACCAGCAGTCTTCAAAACATATTCCTTTGTTTTCGACACAAACTACACAAAGGAGAGTAAAAGATAAGTTAATTTTTATTTTTGGGTGAACTATATAGATTGATATTTAATTTACTAAATGTAAATATTAATATATATCAATGGGTTTTACACGACACATACCTGACCTTCCACACAAATGTCAGTTCCTATGGAAAAAAAAAAAAAAAAAGAATGAAAAGGTTTCATAAAACACATTTAATTAAAAACTTTCCGAGGCAGGTCCCGGAAAGAAAAAACACATACACAGTATACACAGTAATGCGATTTTAAAATGCATAAAACCTGATATCCGTTGAGGGCTGAACATTTAAAAGATCTGAATCTTCCTCACGGGACCTGCCAGGCGGCAACAGTAAACCGCATTACTCTAATGTTTCAGATATGGAACGATGAGTTTCTTGTTTGGGATCCTGACGAGTTTGATGGAATCACTGAAATATCGCTGTCCTCGGATGCCATCTGGGTGCCTGATCTCATCATAAGTGAATTGTAGGTACATGATAGATGCACCTCTCCAGCTCATATCACAGACTCCTTTTTTGTGTGTTGTGGAAATTAATTTTGTTGATATATCTCTCTCTCTCTCTCTCTCTCTCTCTCTCAAATTGCAGGAAAATGGTTTATTTGTCAATGTTTGAATGTAATTATAGGTTAAAGGTAGTGGTGTAAAGTAACAAATTACACAACTGCAATTGAGTAGTTTTTCTCAGGAATTGCACTCTACTAAGTAGATTTAAAAATGTGTACTTTTCCTTTCCCTTGAGTACATTTTTAATGCAGTATTGGTACTTTTACTCCACTACTTTCCTTCAACCTTCAGTCACTACTTTATTATTTTCTTTTCTATGGGGACTAGAAAAATCAGTTCTGCGATTCCTGTTCAATCACATCGTACAGGTAAATCGCATCATAATGTACTCAAGACATGGGCGATTTATAATTGCAGCAAACTGTTTGGAAGCATTAAAAGTGTCCAAGAAGATGTTCAAAATCTTTATACGCAATGAGCGAGAGACTGTTTAGATGCATGTCACTGATGAGAAGATGACGGATGTTTACTGTATGATGACCGAAATGGCCTTAAACAACTAGCAGGCATAAGATGTCAACATGATGTCAGATTCACATTGTACCCCAACGTCGAGAGGACAATGCGTTTTTTTTTTTTAAATGAAAGTTGGGTTGACGTCAGAACCCAACGTCAGGCTGACAACAATGTCCAACGTCCAACTTAAAATCCACCTCTAATGGTGTTACAGCTTGATGTGTGTGAACGTTAAACATTATGACGTCTATCAGATTTTAGATTTTGGTTGCCATACCTGATGAATAAATGGCAGTATTTTACGTCAATATGATGTTGCTTTAAGATGTTGGCTCGATGCTGGATTTTGGTTACTTTCTAACACAACCTAAAATCAACAAAAAATCGTCGTCATTTGATATTGTTATTGAACGTCAAAATAATGTTTTCTTTAGACACTGCCTAGAGATTGAATTTTGGTCACCTGACATCACGACCTATAGATAACCTGATGGGCAATAACTAAATGCACTACAGAATGTTACGTTTACACACATCCACAAATTACATGTGTGCATCAGCTTTTTACAGCGTAAAACTCACTACTCTTGAGTACTTTTAAAAGGTCTAAACTTTTTACTCATACTTTGAGTAATATTTAAAACAGATACTTTTACTGTACTTGCAATACTTTTTTGGGCAAGTAATGGTACTTTTACTTAAGTTAGATTTTTCACTACTCTTTTCACCACTGATTAAAGGTATGGTTAATTACTCACTATTTATTCTTTTTTTCTGTTAAACACAAAAGAAGCTATTTTGAAGAAAGCTGAAAACCTGTAACCATTGACTTCCATAGGTAAAATAAATACTATTGAATGCAATGGTTAGATTTCTTCACAATATCTTCTTTTGTGTTCATCTAAAGGAAGAAAGTCAAACTGGTTTGGAACAAGTGAAGGGTGAGCAAATAATGACAGAACTGTTGTCAAAATCCCTTTAAGCAAAATTAGGGATTTATATGAGTAGAAAAAAAAAATAAGATGGGTTCAGATCAAGATATTAACATATTTTTTTTAGGCACAGTTAAATCCAGAATACTATCCAGAATTGATTTTCAGTTTTATAGTTTAGCAGGCAATACTAAAAATAATTGTAAAGTATTGAACAGTGTAGAAATTAAATGTGTTAATATGAGGCACTTTGGTTGATGGAAATTTGTATTTTTTCTTCTGAGCGTACATGTTAAAAGGGTAATCTTACTTCATTGGATTAAGTGTTTGTTTGTATGATATTAAAAGGTAAATGATCAATTATTTAAAGTGCTTCTCTCTCTGTCCATTAGCCAGTGGGTCAAGCAAAACTTGCCAAATTTACCACAAGAAGAAATTAAACTTCACAGGTTGATCACTCAAAAAAGACAACAAATAATAATTTACAGAGACAATATAATGCCAAACTGGCTAACAGAAGTAAAACCAAAAGAAAGCAGTATTACTTATTTACTACTTAAAAATATAAACACACTCCAAATGCAATAATGCAATAAGCTAAATTGGCCGTAGTGTGTGTCTGTGTGAACGAGTGGGTTTGTGTTTCCCAGTGCTGGGTTGTGGCTGCATCCACTGCGTAAAACACAAGCTGGATAAGTTGGCGGTTCATTTTGCTGTGGCAAACCCTTGATTAATAAAGGGACAAAGCCGAAAAGAAAATTAATGAATAAATAATGATAATCATATTAAAAGTAAAGTGATGCACTCACAATTTTATCACACTTTTGTTGTCTCCACAAATCTCTTCTGTATTTAACCCCTTACTTATTATTGTTCTATAAACTACACAACCTTTTATTTTATTTATTTTATTTTTCCTCAGAATCTAACATTTACCTTATGATGTTGTTATATACTGTATGCCAACTTGCTTTTAAAGCATCTATTAGTGTCACCATCCCGCACTCTGTCTCTGTTCCTCTAGAGGTCCCCATGTTCCCTCCCCTGCTTTGGTTCTTTCTTGTGTGTACTTGTCTATTTAATTTTATCACCCGTGACTTTTACGAGCCTGTTCCTGTTTTTTCACCTTTTTTTTAATGTTACAGCCTTATTCCAAAATGGATTAAATTCATTATTTCCTCAAAGTTCTACACACAATACCTCATATAATGACAATGTGAAAAATGATTATTTGAAATTGTTGCAAAAAAAAACAAAAACTGAAAAATCACATGTACATAAGTACACAAGAATTCACAGCCTTTGCTCAATACTTTATTAATGCACCTTTGGCCGCAATTACAGGCTCAAGTCTTTTTGAATATGATACAAGCTTGGCACACCTGTCTTTGGGAATTTTTGCACATTCCTCTTTGCTGTACCTCTCAAGCTCTATCAGGTTGAATGAGAAGCGACAGCCATTTTCAGATCTCTCTAGAGATGTTCAATAGAATTTAGGTCTTTGCTCTTGCTGGGCTACTCAAGGGCATTCACAGAGTTGGTGTGAAGCCACTCCGTTGATATTTTGGCAGTGTGCTTTGAGTCATTGTCCTGCTGGAAGATGAACCGTTGCCCCAGTCTGAGGTCAAGAGCCCTCTGAAGCAGGTTTTCATTCAGGATGTCTCTGTACATTGCTGCATATATCTTTCCCTATATCCTGACTAGTTAATTGTAGCCTCATCAGACCAGAGAATTTTGCTTCTTATGGTCTGAGAGTCCTTCAGATGCCTTTTGGCAAATTCCAGGCGGAGAGTGGCTTTCGTCTGGCAACTCTACCATACAGGCCTGATTGGTGGGTTGCTGCACAGATGGTTGTCTTTCTGTAAGGTTTTCCTCTTTCCACAAAAGAATGCTGGAGCTCAGACAGAGTGACCATCGGGTTATTGATAACCTCCCTGACTAAGGCCCTTCTCCCCGATCACTCAGCTTAGATGGCCGGCCAGCTCTAGGAAGAGTCCTGGTGGTTCCAAAAATCTTCCACTTAAGAATGATGGAGGCCAATGTGCTCAATGGAACTTTCAGAGCAGCAGAATTTTTCTGTAATCTTCCCCAGCCTTGTGCCTCGAGACAATCCTGTCTCGGAGGTCTACAGATAATTCCTTTGTCTTCATGCTTGGTTTGTGCTTTAACATGCACTGTCAACCCTGGGACCTTATATAGACTGGTGTATGTATTTTTAAATCATGTACAATCAACTGAATTTACCACATGTGAACTCCTATTAGGCTGCTGAAACATCTTAAGAATGATCAGTGAAGTGCTGTGCAGGTAAATCTCTTTTCTCTGACCTGTAAAGGTGCTCTAGACTAGCGGTCACCAAACTTGTTCCTGGAGGGCCGGTGTACTGCAGATTTTCACTCCAACCCTAATCAAATACACCTGAACAAGCTAATCAAGGTCTTACTAGGTATACTTGAAACACCCAGGCAAGTGTGTTGAGGCAAGTTGGAGATAAACCCTGCAGGGACACCGGCCCTCCAGGACTGAGATTGGTGACCCCTGCTCTAGACAAAGACACTAGAGGCCATGGTCTTTAGCCTCCTTTTTAGAGCAACCAGCTCCCATGCAGAAGGTTCGATTCCAGCTCGGAGCGGGTTGGGTGGTGTAGGACTGGCAGGATTACATTGGTGCCGTGACCCTGATGGGAGTGAGGTTAAGGTTGGTGAGTGTAACGGAGACCAGCTAGTTAAGTGCTGTGCAGGTAAATCTTAGTGTAGGACTGACTGGGTTACATTGGTGCCGTGACCCGGATGGGAGTGAGGTTTAGGGGAGTGAGTGTAAAGGAGGACAGCTAGTGAAGTGCTGTGCAGGTAAAGCTCACTCCTCTGACCTCTAAGAAATAGGTGCTCTAGTGATGAACGACAGAGGCCATGGTCTTTAGCCTCCTTGGTAGAACAAGCAACTTCCATGTGGAAAGTCGCCGGTTCGATCATAGCTCAGAGCGGGTTGGGTGGTGTAGGACCAGTGGGGTTACACTCACTCAGTTTTTAAGTCAGTCCCGAATGAACTTGCCTTGTGTTCTCTTGGTCCCCTAAAATACATCTAGTAAGACTCTAGTAAGACCCTGTTGCTTGCTGCCTTATGGTTTATTTATTTATTTTTTTATAAAAATCTTTGTTTTCTGGATCTTACAGATCAGTAAATAATGTCAAAACATTTGCCCAATAGTGGTGTTATTGGAGAATATGAGTAAAGGTTATAGGAGAAGTGGAGTTGTATACTGGATTATTGTGAAGCTAATTCTATTGTGAAATGAAAGAGTGATATATTAAAGCTTGTTTGTTACAATTTCATCTCTCTCTCTCTTTCTCTGATCAGTGTTGATGTTGGCAAATCCCCAGTCATCCCATATGTTTATGTCAACTGCTCAGGAAAAGTAAAAAACTACAAACCCATCCAGGTGGTCTCAGCCTGTCACCTGGAGATTTACGCCTTTCCTTTTGACAAGCAGAACTGCACTCTGACCTTTCGCAGCTGGCTCCATTCAGGTAATTGACTCTCTCATACGCAGCATGCGCTTTCACTCCTTCGCAAAACAAGCTGGCCTCTGTAAGAGCAGAATTGCTGTGATTACTGAGCGCTTTTGATCAGCACTGGTTAGAATCTCTTTAAAAGCTGACATATTTTAAATAAGCTCCTCACAGCAAACTTGCCAACATAAACACTTATTTCAGCAACAACACAATGAGCTGCTGTTGTGTTTTTCTGACAGTGAGCGAAGTGGATTTGGCTCTATGGAGGCCTGCTGAGGAAATCGCCAACGACACCAGAGAGTTCATGAATGATGGAGAATGGGAGCTGCTCGGCGTCCCTTCACGCTACTGGACATTGAATCTAGAGGACAGAGACTACGCACAGATTCAGTTTAATGTAAGGAGGAGTTCCGTCAGGAATATTACATACAATGGAAGATTTAGATTCAATTAAATTCACAATACACATTGTTTTAAAGTAGTTTCATTGGTTACATTTTACAAATAGACGTTAATATCCATTGTATACAGCAGGGAAGATAAGTATTGAACACATCGTTTTTTTAGGGGAAATAGTATTTCTAATGGAGCTGTTGACATGGAAAACAAACAAATCTGAAACATTTGTTATGTATAATTACAATAAAAGGACACAAAGAGAAAGTACTGAACTACTGAAACGTATTAAATACTTTAAAAGACTTTTTTGGTGATGGCAGCTTAATGATAACTCTCATATGGAGAATAAAGTCACACAAATTGCTCAGGTGTGAGTTTTTCACAAACTTCAACACAGTAAAAATCTTGATGGTTCTGTAGGTCTCGTCTATTAGATCTGATCTTTATTTTTTTTTTTTATATTGGATTCAAGTAAGGTGATTGGGCATTGGGAATTGGGAATGTGGGCCATTCCACAGCTTCACTTTCTTTCTTTGAAAGCATTTGTGAGTTTCCTTGGCTGTAATTCGGATCATTGTATTGCTGAAACGTCCACCCTGGTGGATTCTGCAAATGTAGATGTTGGACTGAAGCTGCTAATATTAATTTACAATGAGGAAAGGTGGAGGGTAATTTTATTGTTAAATATTTTTAAACCTATAACTGTACAAGCATTGGATTGGGGGAACATAAGATTAGACCATCACTACAATTTTCAAATCATTTTGTCTTCTTAAACTCCCCTGTTTCTTACAATAGACTGCAAGCTCATCTGCTTACAGACATAAGCGAGTCCATACCTTACAAAATTTTCTTTTTCAGTAATCCATTTCAATGACCAATTATGAAAATATATAAATACAGTCAAGTCTGAAAATATTCATACCCCTGGTAAACTCTGACTTGAAGTTACTTTCATTCAACCAACAATTATGACAAGGTAACACTTTACAATAAGGTTCATTAGTTAATGCATTTACTAACATAAACTAATCATGAACAACACATGTACAGCATTTATTAATCATGACTAAACATTTACTAATGCATTATTAACATCCAAGTCCATGCTTGTTAACATTAATTAATGCACCATGAGTTAACATGAACTAACAATGAACTACTGTATTTTCATTAACTATCATTAACTAGCATGAACAAATACAGTAGTAAATGTATTGTTTATTGTTTGTTCATGTTAGTAAATGCATTAATTAACATTAACTAATGAACCTTATTGTAAAGTGTGACCTATGACAATGTACAAAAGGTATCAAAATGGAAATGTAATGGAAAAACATTTCATAACATTTATTTACATTTGAACAAAAACTTTAACTCCTTCAGCCCTGAGTTATGTTTCTAGTTTCTGAAAAATGTAAATGTATGTCTTCACAGTTCTCGAGGCTGCCATAAATGAGACTAAATTATAATGATAAAAATTGAACATCCTTTAAGTACATATATTTTCGTCCATTTCAATGGACATCAGGTCAGAACAGTTGTACTTCATGAAATGAAACATTAGGATCTTACGATTTTCACAAACATTAGGATTCTAACATTTTTACTTAAATTTTGAGTTTTTTGTTGTATAGATTGCTTCTTGTTTGTAGCAAACTTTATCTCCATCTTCGTCATTTCTCCATATTATCTCCACATCAGAAATATTTCCATCTGGTATGTGCTCAAGAACTTCAAGATCTGTATATTCTGCATATGAGATTGTTTCCGAAATGAATTAATACATCGATATATTATTTTTTATATATAAAAAGCCATCTAATGCTTGCAATGTTACAAAAGATTTGTAACTTTAATTAGTAAGAGCAATCCTTCTTTTTTTACATACAATATATGAAATATTGGCAAAGATATCAATATCAATAAATTGGAATAAAAACATTGTAAATGTGGCTAACTCTGTGTCTGGAGTGAAGTGATGCCATGCTGCTTTTCAAAACACTTGCAAACATTTGGTGTCTAGGTGTAGGGGTGAGTAGTCTGAATAACACAGTTAAGTAACTGTACTATGCACCAGGTTTCGAGCAGCTGCTGCGTTCGGATACTACAGTATACCCATCTAGGGGTGTTATAGATTGTACCAAAAAGCTGATGACCAGGGGGCATAATCACGGAGGTTTTCCAGGAAAAATAACAAAATGGGAGGGTGGCGGGAGATGGGTCTGAAATACGGGAGACTCCCGGGAAATGCTTTTCAATGTAGTGGAATTTTTCAAATTACAACAGTCCGAGCCTTACAGTCTTTTGACTGGATGACAATCGTCAACTCTCATGGACTGCAGGCTTTAAATTAGACGAAATGCTCAGGAACCACAAAAAACATGGGCTGACATGAGATGTCCATTCTAACACAGGGTGCAAAGGGGTTAAGTCAGAATTTGCCAGGGGTATGAATAATTTTTTCCATCACTTTGAATGCTATTGTTTTTTTTGTTTTTATTTTTACATATTCTATTAGCATTTTTAATATATTTTCCTTTGTGTATTAGTTTTTATTTATATGCTATTTATTGATGATTGTTTGTCACTTCGTGGTGAACAAATTTGACTTGCACTTGCTGTTTGCTGTATGTTAATTCTGTGGCCTGACTGAGACATTGAGCACGTAACAGTCCGCCGAACACGCTAGAGTATTGATGCCAGTCTGACATGTGTCACAACCCTTCTCCAACCTTTGCATGGCTGTTAGGGGAGACACACTAATGCTAATAGATGAGGCTTAGCGGCAGACAACACACAGCTAGCACGATGATAATGAGACTGTCTTTCTGGCATTTGATCAATGAGCGTCGTGTTGGGTTGTAGGAAAGAGCCAATAGCTCAAAGCTCGTGGGCAATCCAACCCTTTTCCACCGAAACGTGAAACGCTTGTGTACTTTGATTACCTTTGCTCTGCGGCTCATTGCCAAAGCCATTTAGGGATCCATATTTGTGCTTTTACTCATTGGCCAAATGGGTGGGGAACATGTTTAAGTCGGTATGAAATTGCTCTTTGTTGCGCTGTGAAAGCTTTAAGCGACCTCAAATAAGGCAAGTGTAATGGATGGTCCTGATCCAGACGAGGGGCAGAGAAAGTAAATAGCTCTGAATGATCAAGACGCTCAAATCTGCCTTCTCAGAGGGAGCTGAGGTGTGGGGAAACAATTTCAGCTCTAGAATGAGAAATTGGACTGATTTAGCAAATCCAGGAAATGGTGAGAAAGCTTAAGCTTGTTATGCAATTCCCCTTCAGACACGGCCATTTCTGACTGCTCCCAGAACACTTTTCTCCGAGGGCTAGTAATGGAATAAACATTCAGGGGTATAGAAGACACTCCAAATTGATACTCCAGTCAGCACACAGGTACTCAGTTAAATGTACAAGTACTGTGTCTGCCTGAAAATGTACTAATTGCAAAAATAAAAAAAGAGCAAAAAAATATAAATATTAAAAAATATTCATTCATTTATTCATTTTCTTTTGGGCTTAGTCCCTTTATTAATCTGTGGTCATCACAGCAGAATGAACTGCCAACCTATCCAGCTCATGTTTAATGAATCAGATGCTCTTCAAGTTGTAACCCATCACTGGGAAACACACTCAAACACTCTCATTCATACACATAGACTTTGGACAATTTAACCTACCCAATTCATCTGTACTGCATGTCTTTGGACTGTAGGGGAAACCGGAGCACCCGAAGCAAGCCCACGCGAACGCAGGGAGAACATGCAAACTCCACACAGAAATGCTAACTGACCCAGCCAAGGCTTGAATCAGTGACCTTCTTGCTGTGAGGCGACAGCTTTACCTACTGCGCCACCACGTCGCCCCTTTAAAAAATATAAAAGTGCAATATCTTTGTACAAAAAAGTCAAAGTAGCCTAGCAAAAATAAAAATGAGACAGGAAATCTCAGCCTGATCACATGAGGAAATTTAACTACGTTATACATTGTCAGAAAAGTGGCTAATTCATACAATTGAATTCATATGGGAATCTATGATTTTTAAAAGCAGGCATGCCTCCAAACCCCAGCCCTAACCCCCACTGGCACATGAGCAAATTGCTCTAAAATTTACAAATAAGATGTTTTCATCCACTTTGGGGTGATTTTGAGTCTTAATTTGGCCACAACTTTCTCTGTGTTTTAGCAAACGGAATGATTTTGGTTATTTTGACGCAAAATTTGGGAAAATGCTTAGAATTTTTTCAAAAACTCAACAACACTGGCCAAATTTACTACCTTTTTGTTATGTTGGTGGCTGATTTTGCCCCATTGACTTCCATTTTAATGACATTCATTGCCTCAGCTTTCAGAACATAGTAAAAATAGTATTTAGTAAACAGTGTATTTTATCCATGCATGCTACAATTTATTTTTATACTCCATAGAACTCCATCTAAAAACCAGAAACATTTCCGCACAGGCCTTCAGTATCTAAAGGGTTAATGCTCCCAAATGATGATCAAAAGTCAAAATTCCAAATTTTAGCTATGCCCAACAGAATAAAACACCAACAATAAATAATGCAAGATCATTTGGTGTCAAAGCTTTGCAATAAAAGAAAATGTAATCAATGTAAGTGAATGGAGAAAAAAATAGCTTCTAACATACTGAAAGGGTAGTCAATTTTAACAGCACACAAGGGTTATATCCAAAAAAACTAGGATCTTCTGTGATGTTAAGTACACATATCTGATGGTCTGTTTGCCATATATATTGTGCTTAAGATCAAATAATGTAACTAGTAGTACTATAGTATGCAAAGACAATTATGTAAAGATAATTAACTGTAAAAAATAATCCTCACACTTGAAAAATTGTGTGTGTGTGTATATATATATATATATATATATATATATATATATATATATATATTTTTTTTTTTTATATATATATACACAGTATAAATTCAATTATTTATGTATATATGTATTTTTGGGTCATTGTGTAACAAGTTGTAGACTTTTTCTGAAGTTGATATAGTGGTTCACTTTTTTAAGATGTCGTAAGAAGTAGTTTCTTAAGAATTGACTCAAGTACAAACAGTTAGTTTGAATTGTAAAAAATACACTTACACTAATGACGAACTAGTATTTTACGTCATTACGTAAGTATTTTACACTTTTGTAAACATCACCAACTCTTTCTGTTTCCTTCTTGAGGTGCTGATCCGCCGGCGCCCCCTGCTGTACGTGGTAGGTTTACTGATCCCGAGCATCTTCCTCATGGTGGTGGATGTCATCAGCTTCTATCTGCCTCCAAACAGCGGGACTCGCATCACTTTCAAGACCAGCATTCTCCTGGGTTACACTGTAATCAGAGTCAACCTGATGGATGAAATCCCAGCTACAGCCATTAAAACACCTCTCATTGGTACAGTGCATCCAGAGCTCTTCTTAATTAGTGTTCACCTATTAACAACACTCTTGACAGGCGGCAATCGCACCTCACTCATCAAAACTGTCTGCTGTTTTTGCCACAGGGGTCTTCTTTGCCATCTGCATGGCGCTGTTGCTGCTGAGTTTGGCCATGTCCATTTTTGTGGTGAAGCTGTTGCATTATAGTGAGAAGGAAGTGAAGGAGATGTCCATGTCTGCTTGCCTACTGGATAAATATGGCTCAATGGACCAGAGCCTTGAGAGCACATTCACTTCCATGAAGACGCTGGATGATGTGGACCAATCAGGGGGTAGGAGAGAAAGTAAACAATGCTTTTATTATGCTTTCTAAAAAGTGACCCTGTACAATAAAACCAGTCAATTTTTTTCAAGTTTATATTTATACATTACATGAAAGCTAAATAAATAGGTTTTCCATTGATGCATGTTTGTTGTGATATGACAATATTTGGTCTAGATACAATTATTTGAAAATTTGGAATATGAAGGTGCAATAAATGTCAAAATATTGAGAAAATGGCCTTTAAAGTTGAACAAATTAAGTTCTCAGCAATGCCTATTACTATTCAAGAATTGAATATTAATATATGGTGGCACAGCGGCTCAGTGATTAGCACTGTCGTCTCACAGCAAAAAGGTCGCTGGTTTGAGTCCCAGCTGGGTCAGTTGGCATTTCTTTGTGGAGTTTGCATGTTCTCTCCATGCTTGTGTTTCCTCTGGGTGCTCCGGTTGCCCCCACTGTCCAAAGACATGCACTATAGGTGAATTGAATAAACTAAATTGGCCATAGTGTATGAGTGTGTGTGTGAATGAGTGTGTGGGTGTTTCCCAGTTTTTGGTTGTGGCTGGAAGTGTATCTGTTGCGTAAAACATTTGCCAGAATAGTTGGCAGTTTATTCCGCTGTGGCGACCCCTGATAAATAAGTGGCTAAGCTGAAGGAAACTGAATAAAGGAATTTTGATAAAAATTTACAATGAGAGAGTGTTCTTTTGCTGTGCTCGTGTTTCAGGAGGCGTGGCTCTAGACGGCAGGGGAGGGACTGTGATTCAGAGATTTATGCTAAGCTGTTAGAATTGTCGAAGATCACCTACTGCACCGTTGACCAATACAATATATGTTGGAGGGTGTCACAGTGACGTAGTGGGTAGTGCTGTCGCCTCACAGCAAGAAGGTCGCTTCAAGAAGGTTCGAGCCTCGGCTGGGTCAGCTGGCATTTCTGTGTGGAGCTTGCATGTTCTCCCCATGTTAGCATGGGTTTCCTTCGGGTGCTCCGGTTTCCCCCACAAATCCAAAAACATGCGCTATAAGTGAATTGGGTGAGCTAAATTGTCCGTAGTGTAAAGGTATGTGTGTGAATTAGAGTCTATGGGTCTTTCCCAGTCAAAGGTTGCAGCTGGAAGGGCATCCGCTGTGTAAAACATATGCTGGATAAGTTGGTGGTTCATTCCCCTGTGCCGACCCCTAATTAATAAAGGAACTAAGCCGAAAAGAAAATGATTCAATTCATGAATATATTTTGGGTTCATGCCAAAATTAAATAATGAAATATCCATGATATAATGCATTAATAATTCATAACATTTGAATAATATATATGTAAGGTACAATCTTATACCTATGTATTACGACAAGGATTAATTGATAACAAGTGATTTATTTACAAATGAGGAATAGCTAGACTAATAATAGCTGTATGTGTCATTTGTTTTATGAAATCATTAAAGATTACACAAAAGCTTCATTCTGTATGCTAAAATCGTGGCAAATTCAGTGGTCAATCCATTTATTTAAAAAAGATAATGCTAAAGTCATGCTAAACCATAACATTTTAATGTTTCACATATGTTAAAAAACATAAAGTGCAATACAAATAAATTGTAATCCAAATTGTATTAGGACTTCATTCATTCATTTTTCTTCGGCTTAGTCCCTTATTAATCAGGGGTTGCCACAGCGGGTTGTACCGCCAACTATTCTATCAAATGTTTTACGCAGAAGATGCCCTTCCAGCCACAACCCAGTACTGGGAAACACCCATACACTCATTCACAGACACACACACACGCACACACACACACACACACACACACACACACACACACACACACACACACACACACTACGGCCAATTTAGTTTATTCAATTCACCTATAGCGAAACCAGAGGACCCGGAGAAAACTCGAAAACTCTTACACGAACATGAGGAGCACATGTAAACTCCACACAGAAATAACTGGTCCAGCCGGGACTCAAACCAGCGACCTTCTTGCTGTAAGGTGATAGTGCTAAATAGTGAGCCACCGTCCTGCCCCTTGTATAAGGACTTATGGTTCTCAATTGTCAGAATAATTAAGATATGAGAATACAGTAATTTACAATATAACATGAACGTATCTACGCCCTGTCATACACATTTGTTGACCAGTGAGAAACCATTAGAGGTGGGGTCAGCTGTCAAGTGAAATTGGACCAAAAAAGCCTATAGTGATCTGCTGTTCAAAACAAAGCTCAAAACCAATTCAAGAAAGTATAGTAATGTATTTTCAATCACTGCTTTGTAAAGCTTTAAAACCTTTGTGAATGACTTGTTTCGAACTAGTAATTTAAAACCACATGATTCCAGTTACTAAGCAAAAACTTTAGATTTTCAAAGATGATGCCCTCATATTAGCTATGAGTAGCTAAAAGTGCCACATGTAAAATGGTAGAGTAGTCCTGTCATGTAAATAGAAGAGCCAATCACTAATGGTGAGTTCATCATGTCCCTGCAGCTTTCTTAAGAAGCTCAGGTTGCTATAGAAACAGTCTGTGTCCAAAATCTCATACTACTACACAGTATATGAAAAACAGTACGAATGTCTGAAGTCATAACAAATGTAAAACAAACAGTACGTAAGAAGTATCCACATGTTATGTTAAAGTCCGCATGATATCTAAGTTTACAATGTTTATTTTATTTTACATTGTACATTTTTAGTCATTTGGTTAAGAATTAACATATGCTGTAGGTAATGCTAATGCTATTGTTTTAGTAATCTTTAATCAAAATCGAACCATTTGTATCTGCTCTATAATGGCAGCCTTTCTCTGATGATGTCAGTTTGAAGGCTTCTTGAAAAATGCTTAGCCACACCCCTCCAGCCATTATTTTGCTGCGAGTGCAAAAATAAAACCCCGCAACCCACTCAATATTCTGTTTTAGTTAGAAATATGTCATCATAATGTAACTTCTGAATCACACAGTTTAAAGTGCACATCCAATAGACACTTTACTCTCCCTTGAGACCACAGGAAAGGGTTGGTGAATGGAAATGAAATGATGCAACTGATACTGGAAGATCACGAGAATAACACTTTAAGCATTATAATATTGGGACCTAAGATTTTTGAAAATGTTTGTTATTTGACTGTACTAAAAATGATCGCAGGGAACATCATCAATGCAAGGCCTCTTGCCCTCCACCTAAGGGGTCCTTGACCCCAGCAAGCTACCCAAGGTTAAACCTTTAACAAAGTTTGTCTGGTTGCTAAACCATATTGTTTTCCTCACTAAAGTGAATCAGGTTAGGGTTTCTGGATGCTTAAAATTATACCAAAACCCATCTTATTTATTGTATATATGACTAATTCTGCAATCGTGGGTAAATTTTACGCAGCAACTTATTTCTTGTTCTCATAACTCAATTTTTCCAGTTACCACAACTTAATTTCTCTAGTTACTGCAACCTAATTTCTCTAGTTCCCATGGCTTAATTTTTCTAGTGCCAGTTTTTTCATTGTTACTACAACTTAATTTCTCTAGTTCCCTTAGCTTCATTTTTTGGTTGCCGCAAGTTAGTTTTTTTAGTTACTGCAACTTAATTTCTTTAGTTCCAATTGTTATCTTTTTCTAGTTAGTGCAACGTAATTTCTCTAGTCCCCATAGCTTAATTTTTCTAGTTAGTGCAACTTAACTTTTTTGGTTTCCATAGGATAGCTTACATTTTCTAGTAACTGCAACTTAATTTATTTACTTCCCATAGCTTAATTTTTCTAATTGCAGCAACTTATTTTTTAGTTACTGCAACTTAATTTCTTTTGTTCCCATAGCTTAATTTTTTCTAGTTAGTGCAACTTAATTTCTTTAGTTCCCATTGTTAATTTTTTTTCAAGTTAGTGCAACTTAATTTTCCTAGTTCCCATAGCATAGCTTAAATTTTCTAGTTAGTGCAACTTAATTTCTCTGGTTCCCATAGGACAGCTTTAATTTTCTAGTTACTGCAACTTAATTTCTCTAGTTCCCATAGCTTAATTTTTCTAATTGCAGCAACTTATTTTTTTTAGTTACTGCAACTTAATTTCTTTTGTTCCCATTGTAAATGTTTGTAGTTAGTGCAACTTAATTTCTCCAGTTCCTATAGCTTAATTGTTATACTTAGTGCAACTTTTATTTAACTAGTTCCTGTAGCTTAACTTTTCTGAGTTGCCCCAACTTAAATTGTATTGTTACTGGAACTTAATTTCTTTAGTTCCCATAGCTTAATTTTTCTAGTTAGTGCAACGTAATTTCTCTAGTTCTCATAGAATCTCAATTTTTTAGTTACTGCAAATTAAAGTTAACAAAGATTAAGATCAATTAAACACTAACAAAGATTATGTAATGCTTAACTGATGCATTGTTAATCTTTAATTCATTTTAACTACTAGATTAACTAATGTTAACTAATACATCATTGTAAAATACTGATATACATCATGTGCTTTTAATATTTGTCCTCTCTGTCTCTTATATTCAGGCTATGAGTTTGATCTCTCTCCAGAGCCAGACCTGTTCTCTCTGACTGAAGTGTCCAGCAGTGAGTCTCCACTGGAGAAGATTCTACAGGAGGTGATGTCTCTCAGACTGTACCTGCAGGAGGAGGACACAGAGGCCACGTCACAGTCTTACTGGGTGCAGCTGTGTCTGAAAGTAGACAAATTGCTCTTCTGCATCTACTTGCTTCTCGTCTTCATCTATGTTATGACCCTACTGCTGCTGTGGCATTCCTGGAGCTCAGCCTGAAAGTCTAAATCCGGTGGTAAAGAAGAGCTGTAATGAAAAGAGAAAGAGAAACACAAAAGCAGAGAGTTTAAGGGTATAGTTACACTTCATTTTTTTTTAATTTATCCCCCACACCCAACCCTTAAAAGTTGTCTCACAACCACTGTTCCAGAACATTTGAAGAGGTTTTGGATTATAGAAAAAAAATGCTGTGAATAATGGCTAGTTTCTTGCTGCATACTTATTATGTAACATAAGATCTCAATGTATCATCTGAAGCTTTTGGACTCTTAAAATGCCATAAATGTGCATTTTATGAATCAAGGATCACAGGTTCATCCAATAAGTTTCTACTGTAAAAAAATTACAGGCTAAACATCATTCTTAACATTAGTTTTAAAGTTTTAATGCATTTCAGTCATTAGTATTAGGAGATTAATTATACTTGAGTAAATTGACTAAAAAAAGAAAATTAAAAAGAAAATTAACAAAAAAAATATTGTTTGCATACTGAGACAAATATATAGTAGCTGGTACCTGAACTTTTCCTTTTGGAATATAAAATAGCTGTGAGCAAGTTGTTTTTGTGTAGTGTGTGATTTTTGATGTAAAGAAACTTGTATTTGTATATAATCTTTTGCTTTTTGTCAATAATAACGCTGAAATATTTAGCATTTTTCATTGCACTTAAAGGGAAGAAACTGTCTTATGGAAATAAATTACCATTAATAAACATGGAGATGCCTATTTATGTTGTTATCACTTTTTATAGCTATGTCCATGGTGTCTTTATTTCTTAATGGTACACTGTATATTCAGTTGAATAAAAAAAAGAAAGATCTGTGTATATTTTATATAGAGTTGAAGTCAGAATTATTAGCCCTCCTTATTAGCTCCCCTGCTTATTTTTTTTCCCCAATTTTGTTTAATGGAGTGAAGTTTTTTCAAAACATTTCAAAATATAATAGTTTTAATACCTCATTTCTAATAAGTGATTGATTTTATCTTTGTCATGATGACAGTAAATAAACACTTCTATACAGCTTAAAGTGACATTTAAAGGCTTAGTTAGGTTCAATAGGTTAACTAGGCAGGTTAACAAGGAGCTGTGTTTAAAAATTAAAAACTTCTTTTTTTGTAGATGAAATAAAACAAATAAGATTTTCTCCAGAAGAAAAAAAAAAAAAAATTAAATAATTCTGACTTCAACTGTATATCTTATATATTTTCAATGACAGCACTTCCACTGTATTTGCATGATTACTGGGGCACAAACATAATCATGCATACAGAACACAATAACTATTATTATTCATTCATTCATTCATCCATTTTCCTTTACTTCAGTCTCTTTATTCTTGTTAATTTAATATTTAGTTTTATTAAATTCATACATTAATCTGATCGAATATTTTTTCCACAAAGGTTTACTAACACAAATGTAATTTTAAGGGCAAAACCAAACAATATTGAATGCTTAAAAACAAATGTTAACATTTTAAGGAGCATTCTTTGAGAAAAGAATACTCAGAGTCATACAATATTATAAGAGTGAAGAGTGAAGATGTCCCTTCCTGTACTGCTACATTATCATATATCAAGCTCCAGCTTCCTTACCGAAAGATAAACCACAATCACCTTTAGATCACTACCACTACAATACATTTTCATTACATAGCTTCTCAGAGCCAGGCAGAAAAAAAAAACATAATTCAATTTCTCATCAAAATTCTGATAATATTGTTCTGACGCAAATCTAATCACCTGCCTATTGCCAGGCTAATTAAGTCTCATCATGGCTGGGTGAAGTATTAGATCTCAGTTTAATGTAGTGCTCTAAGTGCTCATGGAAATTGACTTGAACTTGTTTGTGAAATACGACACGCGTGATGCCAAAGGTAGCTGTAATTCTTATACGCACGTAGCTTTTGAGTTATTGTAAGGGCATTATCAGTTCAGAAAACATATGACATTGTTTTATGCTTTTGAAAATATTTAACAGACTATTATTATTATTTATTATTTATATTATACAGATAGATTATTACTGTGAATAAATTGTTAGGGCACACTTTAGTGTATGGACTAGTTTAGACTATTAACTAATAATCATGACTATTAACCTCAAATAAACATACTAATTTGTGCTTGTTTTTTTTTCTTTTTATGGAATGTTATTAGAAATTGAACTGCCTCAATACTTCGTGGCATAGATCCAACAAGGTACAGGAAATATTCCTCAGAGATTTTAGTCGATATTAACATGATATCATCATGCAGTTACTGCAGATTTGTCGGCTCTACTTCCATGTTATGAATCTCCCTACCCAACATATGCTCTATTAGATTGAGTTCTGGTGACTGTGGAGGCCATTTGAGTACAGTGAACTCATACGAGCTTTATGACATGCCGCGTTATCCTGCTGGAAGTAGCCATCAGAAAATAGGCACATTGTGGTCATAAAGGGATGGACAGGGTCAGCAACAATACTCAGGTAGGCTGTGGCGTTGACACACATGCTATTAATGGTCCCAAAGTGTGCCAAGAAAATATCCCCAACACCATTACCCCCTTAACAGACAGAACTGCTGATACAAGGCAGGATGGATCCATGGTTTAATGTTGTAAATGCTAAATTCAGACCCTACCATCCAAATGTTGCAGCAGAAATCGAGACTTCTAATGTCCAATTTTTGTGAGCCTATGCGAAATGCAGCCTCAGTTTCCTGTTCTTAACTGACAGGAGTGGCACCTGGTGTGGTTTTCTGCTGCTGTTGCCCATCCACCTTAAGGTTGGACGTGTTGTGTGTTCACAGAAGCTCTTCTGCATACCCCGGTTGCAAGGAGTGGTTATTTGAGTTACTGTTGCCTTTCTGTCAGCTTGAAACAGTGTGGCCATTCTCCTCTAACCTCTGCTATTAACAAGGCATTTGCACTGCCATTCACTGGATATTTTCTCTTTTTTAGACCATTCTCTGTAAACCCTAAAGATGGTTGTGTGTGAAAATCTTAGTATATCAGCAGTTTCTGAAATACCCAGACCAGCCCGTCTGGCACCATCAACCATGTCACATTCAAAGTCACTTAAATCACCTTTCTTTCCCATTCTGATGCTCGGTTTGAACTGCAGCAAATCATCTTCACTACTGAGTTGCTGCCATGTAATTGGCTGAAATTTGTGTTAACAAGCAGTTTGACAGTTGTACCTTATAAAGTGGCTGGTGAGTGTATGCTACTATATGGGTCTAATATTTACATTTACAAATAGCTGTGACATATACCGAATAAAGTACACCCAGGCAGTAAGTTTACTTCACATCTTTCAAGCTTTATTCCGCGATATCTACTGCTTGGATGTCCTTTATCCCTTATATAACGTGGCTTCATGCTCAATCGATTAGAATCAAGTATTCCAGAAGGCTGGGTAATAATAGTTTGATATAGGGATGAGATTAATTGTATAAAATATGGTCACGCAGAATAATCGGAAATAATGAACAGCCAATATTCCGCTAATTATCAAGTAGGTAATAGTGAGAACTAGTGCCCAAACTAAAGTGTTGTTAATTATTCCAAATCACAATTTAATATTAATAAGAAATAGCTATCCCCTGTTAGTTCTCCATTGAGTAAACAATGCTTGTCATGCTTATATAGGCCTAGCCTATAGTGAAATCTCTGTAATGTGACTCTTGGGACGCACTGAAGTGCTTTGGACCTCGGCTGTAGGATATTGGTGCAGAGGAGGGAGGGTGGTTTAAGTGCTGTAATGACACATCCTGAGCGCTTATGGAAAGCACAGAGATAAGTAACTAATGGAGTTCAGCCTGCATCACTAGATGGAAGCAGCACCAGGCTAGAAGAACAGTTATAGAGCAACTGCGAATCGCTCAGCACAATGAGAAGTTCAGCACTCTGGACAGCTCTCTGCATATGCATGTATGGCACAGTGGTGGATTGCTCAGGTAAGTTTTCTTATACTTGCTTCTATTGACACGTTTAACAAACAGTTCACGTTTGAGGCTTAAAACAAATGATCACAGCATATATGCATAAAAATTTCAATTTGATAACTGAAATCTTGTGGCTTAAAACTTATTGTGCGTAGCTATTCGATTTTGAAGACTAAAAATGTTCTCTCTAGGTATCTCAGCAGAAAATTATGACAATCATTTAATTAACGGCAATCATTGTCATTGGTATTGTGTTATCAATAAATGAATGTAAACAACAACAAAAAATTGTAAACAAATAGCATTTGGACAGTTATTATTGTTTGACTTGACAGATTTTGATACACAATCAGTCAATAACATTAATTGACATGGATTCATGTATTAAAGATAGCACTGAATGTTCAATTCTGAAGTGAAAGTGACAATGGTTTATCTTGGTGTAGTGAAGAAGCTTGGCAATAACACTGGGCGTTTCGCCAATGCCACTCTGGTTCGGCTAAATGAGTTTTTAAGTGCCGGATATAAAAAAGGAGTTCGACCTGTGCGCGACTGGAGGCAGTCAACGACGGTGGCAATTGACCTTATGGTTTATGCCATTCTCAATGTGGTGGGTTGAGGTCTATTTGATATGTTAATTTATTTGTTGTTGGTTTTAAAGTTCATTCTTCTGAATGTGATTTTGTGTGCCACACAGGATGAGAAGAACCAGGTTTTGACAACATATGTGTGGTACAGACAGGTACGTTGGTGGAAAATACGTAATTTATCTGTATTTTTTAACAAATAAAACTAAACAAACATGGTTTATTATCCTAATCATCCCATAGTTTAACCACAGTATTTATAGCAAATCTGCCCCAAAACATGGTTACTACACTTTTATAAATCTATTCATGATGCAAATAAAAATGAAAAATAAATCATCATGGAATTTGTAATGGTTTTAATGAAAATTATATATATTTTTTTATGAAAACTCTACTGACCCTGTGGGTTTGTACTGGTATTTTTATCCTTTTATTTGGTGCTACAGCATTGAATCTTAATGACCCCAAAACATTCAAACGTACTGGATTTATTGGTTCAAATTTGATGGTTTGATTTGAATGTTATTTATAGACCATAAAAAACTTCAGTGAATTTTTTTCAGAAGGGATGATACGTTTTTCATAAGGGTTGATTATATTATTGTTTCACACTATGTAAGTAACACAGTTGAATCAAATATGTGTTGCACTAACTTGCAACATCACACTCGAATCTTATATTGGTTAAATGCAACAAATATTAACAAAAACTAACTTTTTAATGTTAAATCTTGTTTCGGATTTGCTTAAAGCTAGAAGACTTCATAGAATTGGTATTAGTTTATGGTTATTATAACAGCAATTGTTCTTGTTATAATGGAAACTGTAATGGTGCCTATGGGTCTAGGTTAAAACCACAAACTCCTAATGGAATATGCACCCAAACACACTAGAAAGCATGGAACGCATAGAACACTAGTGTTAAAGGTTGATGGTTCATATTTTTATTAGCTATTTGTAATGGAAACTATGTATTTTTTATCATTGTAGTCTGATTATATCTATGAAATTATTATATTTTAGTTCATCAAAAACAAACAATCAAAAACAGACAATTCGATTTACAGAAGATACTCTTAGACAGGGTTTCTGCAGGTAAAATCAAGTGAAATTTAAAACTTTTTAAGACCCTTTTTAAGACTATTTTGAATAAAATTTTAGACTAATACAGGGCTAAACACTAATGAATATTTTTAATTCGGTCTGTTGCCACAAAAAAGTAATTATTTCTTAGCGACATATTTTAATGTGTCAAAACAAGAAAACTCTAGTTGAATAAATCTTTTTGTTCAACATAATATATATATATATATATATATATATATATATATTTATTTTTTTATGACAAGTTTAACATTGTTAAAATATATTATTATGGAGACAATAATCAAAAATATGCATTGAGTATAATCATGTGAAGTGATATGTTGCTCTTTTATTATTATAAGGAATTGTGCTATTGGAGGTTTTCTTAACCTGATTAGGGAGGTTAATTTAGAAAACAATGCTGTAAAAATATCGAACAGCTATTGTAATTGTATCTTTTTGCAATACCTCCCCTTTAAATATGAAAAAAAAAAAAAAAAGTTTGAGATGGATTGTTGGTGATGGGATGGATTTCATCCCGATTGGGTACTTGGACACAGGTAAATAAAGACCATTTTAAAAATGATTTAAGACCTACAAGATTTTTTAAGACTTTTTAAGGCCTAAAATGTTGTTTTGAAAATTTAAGACATTTTAAGTTTATAACAAAAGCACCAGTAAATAGTCAATATCAACATAAGATTCCTGAATGAATGATTCTCATTAACTAATTTTATTATATTTAATTACAGAACAATTAAATATTTATTATGTGTTTGTGTTTGCATATGGCAAAACTAATATAACTTAAAGGGATAGTTCAACCAAGAATTTAATATTACTCACTATTCATTTGTCCCAAACGTTTATCGTTTCTGTTTTAGGTTGAGTACAGAAGAAGATATTTTGAAGAATGTTAGAAACAAATAAGCATTGACATTCGTAGTAGAAACACTCAAACATGTTTTGGGCACTTGAAAGGCAAGAGAATTATGACAGAATTGCAATTTTATTTTTGGGAAAAATCTAAAGTGAATTTACTTTTTTTTTTTATTATTCAATTCCTGAATTTTCATTGCCAATTGTAATGGGTTGTTTTGGTTCAATTTCTAATGTCCACAACCATTGAAGAACCCAGGGGACCAGAGTACATGCTCCAGCTTGGTCACCCTTGGTCCAAATTGACTTTTCTTTTGAATGAATCGCAGACATAAATACTAAACACAGGTTTTAAAATGACAACACAACCAGTATATATAGCCCAATTCACAACTTATTACTTTGCATGGCTCCAAATTAAACAAAAACAATTACTTATATTGTACTTAAGAAGATTTACCAACCGTGTATACCTTTTGTACTTGACATTGAATTCTCTTCAAAAGCAATGGACAGATGAGTTCCTTATGTGGGATCCTGAGGAATTTGATGAAGTCAAAAAAATTTCCATTCCGACTGCCAACATCTGGATTCCAGATATCCTCATCAATGAATTGTGAGTAAACTTGACCTAACAAAAGAGAAGAATGACACATTAATGATGCATTTGCTGCTCTATTACTACTTAAAATGTACTTTTTTCTTTCTGTCCTCTTCAGTGTTGATGTAGGAAAGTCTCCTGATATTCCTTATGTCTACGTAGGCCATGATGGACTTGTCAGCAACTATAAGCCTATCCAAGTAGTGACTGCCTGCTCTCTCAACATCTATAACTTTCCTTATGATGTTCAAAAATGTAGCTTGACTTTCCAGAGCTGGCTACACACAAGTAAGCAACCACATTAAAGTATTTCTAAGTAGTCAGTGACAAAATGCATGTCTAAAATTTTTAAAAGATGTGATCTTTAAACATTTTTATAATGCCCGATGAAAGCTAATTAAAGCAAGACACTACAGGTAAAATATATATATATACATATATAATGCACTTGTTAGTTTTTAGATTTTGAGATATTTGGCTATCCATATGATGTCTTTTTCAGTTAATGTAAGAAAAACATCCAACATACACTTTTAAGAGTTTATTTTGCTCAACTTTGTATGTTTTTGTCTGTAGATTTCCATTACAATACATTGTAAAAAATGCTGGGATCCACAAAATTCCTTCATGCTCTCCCAACACAAATTGATTAAGTTAACTTAATCGTTTTTTTTTTATTTTTTATTTTTTACAAAATTTAAGTGGATTGAACATAAAACAATTAATTAGTTAAAAAAAACTTAGGAATTGCGTTGTTTTAACTCATTTTAAATAAGTAGTTTGAACAAGCAGCAAAAATCATTTTTTTGTGTTTATTTTTAAGAGTGATTTCCTGAAAATGAAAAAAAAAAGCAAGAATTTTAAATCTGACTTCTTCCGACGATTTTTGTGCAAGAAATATATGCAAATGAGTGGGTTAATAAGTGGCTTTCATTAAACAATGGCTTTCATTAAACAATGCCTTGTTTGCATATTTTAACAGCTTTTATTATATATTTTATAATCAACAGGGAAAATATAATATCATTTTTTAAAATATCTTTTTATTGACCTTTAACTTAATAAAACAAAAATTTCAAAAAGATTTGAAACAGAAACAAATCCTCTTTTCTCCAAAAGAGCTCCTGGCCCAACTGTACCATTGCAATGCATTAGTTTTGCACATTTTAAATCTGATTTACACTATATTATTATAGATATGTACATAAAAAAAAAGTATGCACATAAAGACAAATAGATAAAAGTACACTTATGTTCATTTATATATTGTTCACTCATATACATAAAATGAATCAAAATTAACTTAAAATAATCAAATAAAAAAAATGGAGGGAGAAAAAAAGAGCAAAAAAAAAATCTTTAGCTTTGAACAAGTATTAATCTGCTGTTAATGTGAATTATATTTTCTGCTATTTGTATTTCCTTCATCTTCATCAGACAAAACAAAACAAAATGAAACAAAACTAAACTAAACTAAATCAAACCAAACTAATCAAAACTAAACTAAACCAAACAAAATGACTAATCGAAACGAAATGAAACTAAACCAAAGTAAATCAAACTAAACGAAACTAATCGAAATGAAAGGAAACAAAATGAAACGAAACAAATAAAAACTAAACGGAACAAAATTAAAACAGCAAATATTAAGTTTGCTTCATTCTGTACATAAGCACTGGCTGTCAGATAGTATACAATTTTTGACTGCAACCTTTATAGGAGTTATCAGACATTATTTTACCGTTCACCTGCAGTGTCTTTCGTATTTACTGAAACATTCAGTTTTTATTCAGTTTTTATTTTATTCCAGTTTTTATTATTCTGGAAATGCATTATTGGAGAAATGATTCAAGCATAAGAAAAAAAAACAAAGTGTCTTTTTCGTAAAGCCACACGAACTGACCTTTAACCTTCTCTCATCTCGTAGCTAAAGACATCAACATCACACTAATGAGAAGCCCTGAGGCTGTCAAGACAGACAAGAGTGTGTTCATGAACCAGGGAGAATGGGAGCTGCTTCACGTCCTCTCCACATACAACGCGTTCAGCATTGATAATGATGATTACTACGCCGAAATGAAGTTCCATGTGAGTAATGGAATAATACCAAATTAAGCCATGTGGCTAACCATAGTATTTGCATTTGGAATATTTTAGGGACACATATAAAAGCAGGACAGGCAGAAGCTCTCATTAAACGACTGCATTAGATTTGTTTTGTTTCTTTAGCGGTAACATTCGTTTAACCAATAAGCTGTAGATATGGCTATGAAAAAAGAAATAAGAGTTCAATGTTTGCTTAAATTGATAAAGTTAAAATGTCTTCAGAATATCTAATATCATATTGTAATTTAGGTTGTTTTTGCAGTAAATGATGACTGTTGGTCAAAATAATAAATGCTTTCCTTTGCTGTAATTTAATACTTTTGCAATGGTATTGTGTTGGAATAATAATAATATTACAAAAATACATTTAAATGTTCATTTATTTTAAATTTGTATTAGTTTTTGTTTAATAACAAAACTTTACTATCATGTTACAATATTATTTATTTACCAATAATATGTATAGCTAGTAGCATGTAGCCAGTTCATAAGAATCCATTTATATGTGGGAATGGAATGATAACCAGTTTTAGGGTTTACCGTGGTTTGGAGAAGTTAAGGTTTTAAAACTGTCAACATTTTCTGTTATAGCAGTTATAGTTTTTTATTGTGTTTTTAAGACATTAATTAGCCATTCTAAAATATATTTTATCTAGTTTAGTATTAGGGCAATAGTATTTCCAGCAGAAAAGGACCCTCCACATCCAAAACTGCTGTTACAAAATATATTAAATGTTTCTTAAAATAAAACATACTGTGTTCAACGGGACAATTTTTTAAATTTTTTTTTGCCCAGACATTTAAAAGGAGCATATTCTATAGAAGTAATCACAATACTGTGATATTTTTTATCCAAGTGTATCATACCATCAGGATCTTACACCAGCCCATGCCTAGTTGTCAAGGTTGTGAAAGATTGTGAAAAGTTTGCCTAGTTGTGAAATGAATATTAACATTTCTGAAAAAGCTTAATAATTAAAAATCACCTTTACCCAATCCAAAACTGGATTTCTGTTATGACGTCTGTTATTCAGATGGAGAGACTCCATTTTAAGGTCTAGCTCCATAAGTAAATGTTGACTTGTTAAACTTTAATGTTAAAATTAACTAGGTTAATTAATGTAACTAGGAAGGTTAATGTAATTAAGCAAGTTATTGTAAAATGATGGTTTGTTCTTTAGACTATCGAAAAAAATATAGCTTAAAGGGGCTAATCATTTTGTCCCTAAAATGGTTTTAAAAAAATTTAAAACTGCTTTTATTCTAGCCGAAATAAAACAAATAAGACTTTCTGCTGAAGAAAAAATATTATCAGATATACTGTGAAAATTTCCACTCTTTTATGAACACTTTTCTATTTAATATTTTAGAAAAAAAGTCTGGAGAACAAAACAAACATGTATAATATGTGAAACAAAGATTTGTTTTTGAAATATGCTCCTTCTGCTGCAATTACTTGACTGCAAATAATGAAAATCTTAATTAAAAGGCCATCATGGTGGCGCAGTGGGTAGCACGATCGCCTCACAGCAAGAAGGCTGCTACTTCGAACCCCGGCTGGATCAGTTGACATTTCTGTGTAGAGTTTGTGTTCGTGTGGGTTTTTTCCGGGTGCTCCGGTTTCCCCCACAGTCCAAAGACATGCAGTACAGGTGACTTGAATAAGCTAAATTGTCCGTAGTGTATTTATGCAGAAGTAAATGACGTCACGGAACCCGTACCGGGTACACAGTTTAAGTTAAAATACTATATGTCGAAATATTACTTCATTTAGATCAAATACATGCCACTGAAAAATATCACTGACCCCAAAAATGCTGAACTTCAGTTCTACTGATACCAAAATGTTGAGCACCACAAAAAGCACAAAGAGTCCAAATCTGCAAAATAGATAAAGAAAGAAAGATCAACACATTAGTTCAACAATGAGAGCCATCTGCTTTTCTCTGCAGGTTGTGATCCGGCGCAGACCTCTTTTCTACACAGTCAACCTCCTGCTGCCCAGTATGTTTCTGATGGTGATGGATATTGTTGGCTTCTACCTGCCGCCTGACAGCGGAGAGCGAGTGTCCTTCAAGATCACCCTGCTTCTGGGCTACTCCGTGTTCCTCATCATTGTCTCTGACACTCTGCCAGCCACTGCCATCGGGACTCCTCTCATCGGTAATGAGTGCTTTTTCAGTTTCACACAACATCACCTGATGTATTTGCATAGAAAAGAAAAATCATTGATTGGGGGAGCTTTTTATGTGTGAGAGGTGACATCATTTAGTTACTGTATACCACTCTAAGGTGTGCATTTATTTTAATTAAAGTTGTTTCATTTTGGTTTCAAATCACTACACTTAACAATTTAAGGTAATTCATAGCCTACAGTTCTCAAAACATTTTTCTTAAAATATTTAACTTCATTTAAATAAATAAAAACATAAAATGGATTATATCAAAATACAATCTTTTTGTGAGATGTGTAAGAAACTAGTCCTGAGAAGTTTGAGGACAAATACCAGACAACATTACCAGGGTGTGTCAATAATTTGGTTGAATGCTTGAATCTGAGTGGCTGGTGAACATTGTAAGGTGTGCAGTTTTTTTTTTATTCTTCAGAGAAACACACATCTAAAGTACTTTCAGGCTGTGAGGCAGGTCTTGAATGCATGACAGTTCTTACTATGTCAAATGAGTTCAGTTAATGAATTATAAAAAATAATGCACAACAGAGGTGTAATCTTCTAATATTTCAATGGCCTGTCAATGGCTATGTCTTACTTAGCAAACAAAGTTCGTAGAGTATAAGTTCCTCTCAACTGGGCTTGTTTCTGATGTTGCTTCTTTACAAACAGAAAAATAAGTCAGATAGCAAAAAAATAGAGATTTCTTGAGCATTTCAAATGAAGATCAAGCCGCATGTCCATTGATTTTCAGTGTGAAACCGCAGCTGTGAGGAAGCTTGTGCGGAAATACACTGTGCTGATTAATGGGAGTGATAAGGAGAGCAGCACTGGAACCTACAGAGGTTTCCAGTTCAAAACTAATGCTTTCAAACACATTAAAGCCTTACAGAGGGCATGCATTTTTTTTTGCTGAAAGATCACAGGAGATATCAATTTTGATCTTGACAAAACAAGTACAGAAAAATAAATTATGGGTTAACATAATATACTAAAAATCATATTAGATATATTTAGAACGATAGTCATGTCATGGCATATTTAAACTCATTATTTAAGCCAAGTATTACTGTTCTGCCCCAAAATACTAATGATTTCTCATTTTAAATATTTATGCTTTGTACTATTCCTCAAACTACTAGCTTTTACCCATTTGTCAGCAATCTTTTTAAACAAACAAACGAAAAAACAACAACACACATTTAGTGTGATCATATTTTCTTTAAAATATTTTAATAAATAATGATCAGAATAGTTACAGTGTGTAGTTTTATATTTTCATGGTTCACAGATTTGATGAGGCTTTATAAGAAGGTTTAAATTGCTAATATTAGTTAATGCACTAAGTAGCATGAACATATATATATAGGAATATACTTTCACTGTATTTATTCATCTTAGTTAATTAAATTGCTTTTTTTTCATAGTGAATTAACTTGTGTTCACAAATACAACTAATAATGTATTATTAAATAATTAACCAAGTTATACATTCAGTAATTTTGTTCTTTGTTGGTTTATGGCAAATAGTTAACCAATCAACCTTGGAATTATAAGGTTGATATTTGAATGATTTTGAGATATTGAGCTTCAAAGCTTTTGCATTCCATAGCAGACAGTATGTGTGTAACTTTTTTTTTTAAATAAAAAAAAAAGTTAAAATGTAAACAACTTATAAAAAACATCCCATAATGTAAATAAGTTGTCATTTAATAAGGATATGTCAATACCTCAATTTTGACAAAAATTTCAGATAGAACCCATATCGTTATGTCAACAAGTGCATTCTTATTGTAAAGTGATTTATACTGTGAAATATAGTTACTGTATTATTTACTGTATTAAACAAGGGCATTTATACACATCTGTTTAAAAATTAAGCTGGTGAAAAGTGACAGTAAAAGTAGTATTTTCTATCTTAAATTAATGCTGTTCTTTTAAACATTCTATTCATCACAGGTAGTAGTTTAGTAGATAGTTTGCTTAAAACTAGAAATTCTGTCATAATTGACTAATCTTTTACTTCTCACATGTTTGAGTTTCTTTCTTCTGTTCAACAGATAAGAGAAAAACATTTTGAAAAATGTTGAAAACCAGAAACAATTGACTTCCATTGTATTTGTTTTGCTTACTATTGAAGACAATGGTTACAGATTTCTAACATTCTTCAAATATTCCCTATTTTGTTCAACAGAATAAACAATCTAATAAAGGTTGGCAATCACTTGAGAACTTCCTGACCCCAGAGCTATACATTACATGCCGTATACACTGTCAGAAATAAGGGTAGGCGAGCTGTCACTATGTGCTACCTTTTCAGATGGTACACATTTATACTTAAAGGGTCCATATTGGCACCTCAAAAGTATACATTAGTACCTAAACATTTTAAGAAGAACAATTTTGTACTTTTTAAATACTAATATGTACCCTTGAGGTATTAATATGGATCTTTAAGTTACAAATTTGTACCTATTGAAAAGGTACCACCTCAGCTCACGTACCTTTATTTCTGAGAGTGTACAGATTATTGAAAGTTTAAAGCAATATGTTTGCTACTTTTGTACTATTTGTTTTAAATAAAATCACTGTCAACTGAGACAATCCACTTTTCCTTTTATTTGATTCTTTAATTCAGAATTTTTTTTAAAGCTAATTAATTAAACTAAAAAGTAACTCACATGACATTTTTTAAAAAGTACCTCAAATACCTTTTCCTTAATTTTTAAAATGAATGTGTTACTTAACTTGTTACTTAGAAAAAATAATATTATTATGTTAATCGTATTACTCGTAAACACTAACTAGTTAGTGTAAAAACAATGAACAATGCACCTGTAGTACATTAGCACCTGACTGTGTTCTGTGCTTTGTATATTTCATATTTATATATAGTCTTATTTTGTAAACAATGTATGTTTTTAATTGTGTATTCCTAACTGTTTTGCTTGTTTTATGTATTTTATTGTCTGCTTAGAGCAACGTTGTAGCACCTTTTTGCCCAAGACAAGTTTCCTCTCAGAGACAAAGTTTATCCTCTCCTCTCCTCACAAATTAACAGACTAGTAATGATACTAAACATCATTGAATGGTAAAAATAAATAAGGTTTTTAAAACCTAATAAACAACATTTTTTAATTGTAATAGTATTTCCTCATCTTTACTGTATTTTTGATCATACAAATGTACCCTTGGTCAGAAGAAAAACCTCAGTACAGTATAATAATAATAATAAGAAATTAATTTTTCTGCTTTCGAATTAAAAACCTTACAGACTTTATTCACAAAGAACAATGCAACAATCACTGACCAAATCAGGTCTTTCTCCCAAGTAATAGTATTTTTTTCTCAGAAAGTGTGTGTGTGTGTGTGTTTTGGAGTGCAGGTGTGTACTTTGTGGTCTGCATGGCGCTGCTGGTCATCAGTCTGACCGAGTCAGTGTTGATCGTGAGGCTGGTGCACAAGCAGGATCTGCAGTCCCGTGTGCCACAGTGGGTCAAACACCTGGTGCTGGAGAAGGCCACAGTCCTGCTCTGCATTCGCAACAAGAAGATCTGCTCGTTCCGCTCACAGGGGTCCGACCTGCCGCTCTATAAAGAAAACAACATGAACACTGGTAACTGAGACTCTCCTTAAAGGTACAGTTCACCCAAAAACAAATCACAATTCTCTTATTAATGACTCACTCTCATTTCTGTCCAATCCTGTAAGCCCTAGGTTCATCTTCAGAAATAATTAATCTTCATAAATTAAGATGTTTTGTACAATTTGAGAGCTCTCTGGCCCTCAGTACACAGCAATGTTTAAACAAAGCCCACAAAGGTACCAAGAAGATAATCAAAACAGTTCATTTGTCATCGGTGGTTCAAAGGTATTTTTTGGATGCTACGAGAATACTGGTGTGCACAACAATAATCAATCTATTCAACAGGTCATCATCAGTTCAGAAAGTGTGTTCACGAGAAAGCTGTGCACTGTATGTGTGATCGATCACTGTACACTTAATCATGTTCCTGACATACAGTATAACCCAGATACCGGCAAACAGAAGAACTGTTGAATTATGTCTTAATTTTGTATGTTTTTTTGGACTGTTTTGAAAATAGCATCCAACTCTTTTTATGCACATTTTGGAATATTGCACAAAAATGCTTAATGGAAACAGCAGGAACCGCACACATTTTAAAAATGCACATACAAAAACAAGAGCACAACGAAGTAATATAAACTTTTTATTCGATAAAAATAAAATGTTCATAAACTATTTACAGAGTAAATTTGAGCTTTAAAATTCAGAATTTAAAACAACACAGACTCATTCTGAAGATGTAGCCCTATATACATTTCTGCAGGTCGCGAATTATGTAGCCAGAGTAAGGTATGGCTGCATTTCATTTTTACAACTCCGCTCCTTTTCGCGCTCACTAGCTAACCGCTTATATTCATATGGACGCCTTTCCTGCTGTTACCAATTTGTCCAGTTAGCTCACCATGAACGTCAGTGGGCTTGAGATGAAAAGAGGAGTTGACCACGATGACAGGATTCAAGTCCGGTGTTGAACGGTTACAGAAAGCAGGTAATACAAAAAGAGAATCCAAAAAAAAAGTAGAATAAACATATAAATAACAGGGTGAAAATGTGGTAAAATCTGAAACCATTATAAAAATGAGGCGAGGACTTTTCTTTTTCTGTATTTCTTTTTAAAATTGTTTGTTGGGTTTATGGAAGTGGATGAGCAGGTCAATCGGAGCTTGTAAAAATACTATTGGTTGGGTTTAGGGAAGGAGGATGGTGGGTCCATCGAATGGTCAAACAGTCAGTCAGGCAACAGTGGGCTCTGGTGGATTTACGTGAGAACAGCAGGCGGGAATGGCACTCGCGAGAGAAATTTAAGATCTCACAAAGCATACAGAGAAGCCTTTAGTAGATTCATCAAAACAAAAACAGCAAATAACGCAGCTTCTGGGACGTCTTTAGCGCTCTCCAGAAATATATATATAGAAGTACGTTTTCAGAATGAGTCTGGGTTAATTATAAAAGTCATGTGATTTTGTTTTAACAGGACATGCGATAAGAGAAATGGACAAGATAAGACAGCATTAATGGCCAAACCAGTGGACCGACCAACTTGCAGAACAACTGAAATGTTTTGGTCATTTTAAAATGCATTAGCCAGAATCTTAGTAGTTCTGTATTATTTCCACCATTAAGCGGCTGCACTCTCAAAAAGTGATTTCAAGTCTCCAAAAGCCACTGCACTCATTGCGTTTTGTCTTCCTATTCTAAGTCATTTATTACAGTATATATGAAAAATGGCTTCTCCTGCTGCAGCAAATTACACTTTGCTTTTTGATATTTGGTGTCAGTTTATCTGGAAGTAATGATTTTGTTCTCTTAACTCACTGGATGGAAGTGATGCTTTATTCTCAAAAGTTTAATGCTACATTCGTTTTGGGCATACTGTAAGTCTAATTTGCATCTTCGGATGAAAACAGCTAATGTTCTTGGTACCTTTCTTGGCTTTCAACCTTTCAGTACCATTGCTGTTTATTTTATGAGGATAAAATATCTTAATTAGTGTTCCGAATATAAATGAAGGTCTTACAAGTTTAGAAAGACATGATAGCGAGTAATTCATGACAGAATTGGCAGTTTTTGGGTGAACTATCACTTCAACATCCCTGTCAAATCCTACTTGAGCAACTGTTAACATTTACTAAATCTGGGATTCTAAATAGAGGTAAATCATTTTAAATATTTATATTTTGTGCTATTTTTTAAACCAGTAGGTTTTACTAATTTGTTGGCAATAGAGAGTTTCACAGAGCTTTCTTCAGCTTTGAATCACAGAAATATATTAGATTTGTCTAATTTTGACTTATTGAATTTGACAAATTTCATTTAACAAATTTGACTTGTGATACAGCCTAGTGTGATTATCAAATCAAGGGAAGCAGTTTTATCAAATAAGTATACAGTCTGTTTCACTTTGAGGTTTAACGTGAAGAGAGCTTATACGCTGCAGCTTACATTGTCAATCTGCAACTCCATTGTGGGAATGTAATGTGTGTCAGGTTCATAGTCACAAACTTTGCAACAGGAGTTATAACAAACTTTCAAGACAGAAGATTATAGCAATTTATCAGCATTCTGCTAAGGTAAAAGCTTAGATTTGGTTCAAAAGAACAACAGAAGTAGTTCATTATTTCATTAATAAGCCTAAATAAATGATTATCTTTATATAAGTATAACTTTTTAATTATAACTTATTGCAATAACATAAACATTATAAAAACATAAACAATCACATTTATAACACAGTGGAGTTCAATGTGGAATACACTAGTCAAGCAAAATCTTTGCCTTGATTGCTCTCCAAAGTCTCTGCACTGTCCTCTATCTGTTGGGCACATTTATACCTAAACTACAGAATTAAACTGAAACATTTAATTTCAGTTAGCTGATAATTTCATTAATTTTCCTATTTAAATATTGACGTTATGACCGTGCACTAAAACTGACAGAAATTCAAAAGTTAAAAAAAATCTATTAATAAATTTTTATTTATTAAAGATTTTATTTATTTATTTTTTTTATTGAGATGCTAATGGTCAAATCCAATGCAATGATTTATGCTAGGCTAAGTTAAAAATGCTCCCGCCAGACTGGGAGTTGAATGGATTAAAAAATGGTAAAACTCAACTGTTTAACTCTAGGACAGTTGTAAAATGAGCTTTTTTGCGACGAAAAGAAAAAAAAAACGTAAAATGTTCCTTTTTCATCCATGGAAACTTTTTATTCCAAAAAAAGTTCTTTACAGTAGATTATTCAAACGTTCTTTATACCATAGAAAAAAAGTGATTTTCACTAAAATATTCTTCAGGGAACCAGAAAAGGCTCTTTTATTGAATGACTGTTTTCAGAACTTGATATTTTTAAAAAGAGTCAATATTTTCAGACAGGGCAGAGCTTAAAAGAGCAGTATGTAAGTTTGACACCCAGTAGTTAAACTAGGTAATGCATTCCTAGATAAAAACAAACGCAAACGCAGGTTTCCAGATTGAGGACCAAAAGGAGCGAGTATAACGATTCTAAATAAAAGCAACGACAAATTGTAGAAGGAATATTCTCTATATTAAAAGCAGTTTTTGTTCTAACCCACACTTCAAATTGATATATTAGAAACGGCTTTTATTTCTTGCAGCTGAGCAGCAGGATACACTGACAATGATCACCTCAGGTACATCTTGTGTGCTTTATTCAGTGTTGAATGCTAATAATGTGAGTTTGAATGCCATTTTACAAGACATTTATGGCCATACTTCTGAAAGCAGCAGCAGATAGTTCACCTCAGATCTTGAAAATAAAATAAACTTTAGAATTGTGAAAAAATGCAAACCAACACATATCAGTGATTCAGCATGTACATTTAATAATGTTCAAGAGGTTTAAGATGTATTAAACCTTATCATTTTGTGAGTGAGTGCATATTCTATGCTTCTGAATGGTTCTATTTAAATTTATGTCATGTTTTGTCTGGTGTAAATAGCCAAATTGCTTATGACTGCAAATCTCGTCACGAAGCATGTTGTTGGGACACGCAGCTAAAACGTAACCTGCCCACCAAATGTTTACGTTCATAATATTATATTATTTGCTAAATAATAACCTCATTTGGAACTTTGATGTAGAATGTAGAATCTGAATCTTATTTCGGAGTCTGCTACTGTCAACCGGAGGTCACATTTCAGTCACGGACTCATACTCTGAGAGCCTGAATCTGAATGAATCAATAAAATATGCAGTTTTCTATCAAGGCAACCTGGGGGGCTAAAATATAATTGGCTAAAGTGGCATTGGGCAAGTTAAAAGAACCAAAACAAAGACAGAAATTCTAGCATGCAACACATTTTCAAAGCAGAATACTTTCCTTCAGAAATGTTTTTCATAATGTTCACTTGGCATGTTTCTTAAATATCTGCAAAAATATTACGGTAGAGTCAAAAACTTACAGCACCTTCAACAAAGCTGCTCTAATGAAGCCACTTTTGGCCAATCTCTGATTGTGACCTGGGACTCTTTCAGCCATTCACTGCAACCACCACAGCTGTGAGGGGTCCAGAGACTCCGGCAGAACCTTGGGTTTGGGGCTGTCAGCACACGAGTCTGGGCCTCCTGTCATGGACGGCATCCTCCGCGAGATCACCACCATCCGCCAGTTCCTGGAGAAGAAGGACGAGAGCCGTGAGATCGCAAAAGAGTGGCTGCAGGTGGGCTATGTGCTGGACATCCTGCTCTTCCGTGTATACCTGCTCACCGTTCTGGCCTACGGCATCACCCTGGGCTCGCTCTGGTCCATCTGGCAGAACGTCTGACCGCAGATCTGAAGGGAAGGCGCCAGTTTGGTCTCACTGCTTCAAGGAAACACAGCGTTTGATGTCGATTAAGTGCTGGTAATGTGATTGTTATCTGACGAGAGAATAACTTGAGCACCAGAGAGGAGAAATGTACTTTCAGATTAAGAGTTATTACTTGTACACCGCCATTCTTACCAAATAAGAGCTGCTCTGTGACGTCTCTGAAATGAAGCGTATAAAATACTGATATGATTGTTATACCAGAGTTTGTGTATATTCAGTACAACATGACTGCAAGTGTGATATTTCTTTTATGTGACACAGAGTATAAAAGAGTCACAAATTTTAGATTGCATTATGGGAAGCTATTTGGGGTATTTTGTTCTTGGGTTAATGGAAAAACTAAAGAAAGAAACAGACAAAAAAAGCTGAAATATATAGATGCAATTAGATACTTTACTTAACCTAAAAAACGTTGACATTTTAAGTTGACTAAATTTTTATAATTATGCACAGTTCATTTAGTTAATAATGTAAATACTGGGTTTTAGTGTATTGTCCCTGAGCATCTTAAAATTATTGGTCAGCATTACACCATTAGCTATCAAGTATTTATTATTATTATTTTACATATTATTGATAGACTTTTAAAAAAAATGCTTCCTTGGTGACCACTACATTCTCATTTCAAAATCATAAAACATCTTACTGAAGCATATAAACAATCGACCAGGGATTAGTATTTTACATGTTTTAGGATTTTTTTAGATTCTATTGAGTTGAATTTTTTTGTACTGATTACAGTGCTGTATTTATATTGTTAATGTACACATTATTTATTTAGATTTTATTTATGTGTCAAAAATGTGTATATGTATTTATTTATGTGTAACAATATCATCTGTATCAATTTATTTTAATGGATTTTTATTAATTTAATAAAATTTTAATAACTAAATTAAAATGTAACCATAATTTTGCATTAATTAACTTCTATTTGTTATAATTATATATTTAATTATTTTAGTTCAATTTGTTTTTTTTCAGGTAATTTTATCTTTTTATTTTAGGGCTGCACGATATTGAAAAAAAAAAAAAAACAGACATTGCAATGTACTGCATTATATTTTGTGATATAAATGCAATTACACCAGATGACTTAAACAGGTTGAAAATAATTAATAATTTTAGACCGATTTAGGATTGATTGTTGTAGGGGGAGCACATCTGCATGAAGTATAGGCTAATTTTAAAAATGACAAGAGAAAAGATTTAAATAAATAATGATTTATGGTTTTCCTTTGGAGTCAAACAGTATTTAAAAACAGAAATTAAATAATCACTGTAAAATAGTCATTTATTCATTTTCTTTTCAGCTTAGTCCCTTTATTAATGTTGGGTTGCCACAGCGGAATGAACCGCCAATTCATCCAGCTCTCTGTTTTACACTGCGGATGCCCTTCCAGCTGCAACCCATCACAGGGAAACACCCATGCACTCTTATTCACACACATACACTATGGTCACTTTTTAGCTTACCTACAGTAGTTCACCTATACCACATCTTTGAACTTGTGTGGGAAGCTGGAGCACCCAGAGGAAACCCACACGATTGCAGGGAGAACATGTAAGCTCCATAAAGAAATGCCAACTCGAACCAGTGACCTTCTTGCTGTGAGGCAACAGCACTACCTACTGCGCCACCGCATCACCCCTATGTACAAATAATAATATTACTACTACTAATAATAACAACAACATTGCATCCTTTTAATGAGTAAATAATTATATAATGTAAACCTAATCTTGGGGCGCCAACGGTGGCTCAGTGGTTAGCACTGTCACCTCACAGCAAGAAGGTCGCTGGTTCGAGTCTCGGCTGGGCCAATTAGCATTTAGCGTGGACTTTCCATGTTCTCCCCGTGTTCGTACCCCTATAGTCCAAAGACAAGCGCTAAAGTGAATTGGGTAAGCTAAATTGTCCGTAGTGTATGTGTAAATGAGTGTGTATGGGTATTTCCCAATACTGGGTTGCATGCTGGAAGGGCATACGCTGCGTAAAACATATGCTGGAATAGTTGGCGGTCCATTCCGGTGTGGCGACATAGGAAATAGAAACTAAGCCAAAGGAAAATGAATGAATGACACCGTCTTTAAGCTACAAACTTTTAATTTATTGTTCCCAAATGGCTTAAACAGGCTTGAAATGCTTACACAGTCACAGGCCTTAAAAACACATGCAAATAATTAACCTTCATTCTAAGGTTAACATTTAAAAAGACTCCACTAAGTTGTTACTGTAATGTCTGGTAGGGCTGGGCCGATAAACGATATTATATCGAATATATTTACTCTATATTAAAGTGTCAATCACAAAGCAGAAATGTGTAACAATGGGAATTTAAAAGTGTGTTGATATAAGAGATGTACCGAATTTTTAGCCACAGAAGGTTTATCAGCTGAAAATGTTGTCATTTAATGGACCCTCTAATTTTTGTGGCTTCAGTCATTCTTGGGGTGCTCTTTTAAATCTGGAAGCATTTACTTATTTTGAAATATATGTCGTTATCATTCAATATGGAAAATAATTATCGAGGTTGCATTTTTGCCATATCGCTCAGCCCTAACGTCTGGTCAACTATAATCCTGACTATATTGCAGATCCTTACGATGTGAGTAGGCTACTGCAGACTCGCACATTGCGATATGAATGCAGTGAAACGATATATTGTGAAGCCCTAATTCATTTATTTAAATTGTTGAGTGTTTTTTTTTATTGATATTTATAATATGTTGATTATTTTAAACTTATTTGTACATTTTGTATGCTTTATCTGTAAACATTCCCACCTTAATGCTGCCTAAAGGCCCTCAGTTTGATACCTCCTGAACTTGGCCATGTTAACATATCTGTAAATGCTGAAAACAAATAATTAAAGACGTAATCACTGAAACAACAATCTATCCTTAAGGTTCAATTGTAAATTCTCTGTGTGATACTATGAAAAGTAATGCTGTCTTGTTCTCCAAATGAGCACATCCTGTAAAGTGTGTGTCTTGAGAAGATGTTTGAGTGTGTGTCTATATTGTGTTCCCTTCTCTTGCAGCCCAAGGCCGGCTGAGGATTAGTCGTTGCCTGTGACACTAAATGTACTAATTGTAAAGATTTTCACCTCACTGGGAATGCACTCAGCAGGCCTGGGGTGATTGGATAAATGCCATCGACACCCTACATAATTAAAGAAAAAAAAAATCAGTTAGACAGTAAATGGGAGCATTGATCCCAATACAATCAATGCGTCTACATCTCTCCATCCTGCTGCCTCTGCTATCCTCACCACAGTCCTGATTTAGTCAGATTGATGTTTTGATAGAATAAATGTCGTATTATGATGATAATATGATCATTATTACACATCCATAAGCTCTTGATGTTTGCGCTAGGGTTTGACCAGCAGAGGGCTTCTAAGGCCATGTAATGCATTTAAAGGGATAGTGCCACCAAAAATGAACATTTACTTACAATTTTGATCAAGTCAAGTGGTTAAAAACATTTAAGAGCTTCTTTTTTATGTTGAACACAAAATAATATATTTCAAAGCAAGCTACAAACCTAAACATTAGCATCCATAGTAGGAAAAACAAATGGAAGTCGACGGCTTTCTTTAAAATGTCTTCTTTTGTGTTCATCAGAAGAAAGAAACTCAAACATGTTTGAAACAAGTGAGTAAACCATGACAGAATTTTCAGTTTTGCTGGAACTTTCCCTTTAAGGCACTGTTAACGTATAAGGAGTTTCCCTGCTATCTGTAGTATTAAATACAGAAATGCACACAATCAGATTCTAGTGCAACAGGAATTTTACTATCAACCAAGAATGCAATGCTGGCAGCCTGAAGTCGGCAGTGTAATTCCTGAAGGCTGGTCGCAGTCATAACAAATGGCTTCAAGTGGCATTTGTGGGCCGTTTCTTGTTTTGCAAATTCATCTGCTGGAGGTCGAGCATTGGGCCCGTTTGCACCCGCAGGCACGGCTTAGCTGGAAACACAATCGAAGGGATTTGGGAAGAACACGTCCACCATTCAGTCCTTCACTGTCTAAACTTCCCTTGTCCATTAGATCATATCTGGGTCAAAGAGCAACTAAAGATGGGACGCCCTGTGCACAGCACAAAAGCTATTCACACAGAGAGGGTCACAGGACCTTTCGGCGGAAAAACTGGCGGATTTTGGTGCCAGCAGAATCATTGTCACCCCTTAATGATGCTGCTTCTCGTTCTAAGGCGAATATACAATCTGAACCCTGCTGTCTTTCTCAGACGATCATTAAAAAAATCTGTTTCATCTTAAGAGATAGAACTAATTAAAAGACTCATTAACTCGGCGCACCGAGGTAGCATTGTGTGCTTTATATGAGCCACATTATTTCCAAAGATAGTTAGATGGTGAAAAAAGGGATAAGGGTGTTTCATTAGACACTGTAAAGTTGCTGTCACATTAAGTGGAATTGGTGTACAATCACATATTTTTGGTAAGGAAATGGTCCATTACCAGTGGTAGCTAATGATTTTAAACTGAAGTCACTTCAGACCGTTTCACAGCAAAGCTGCAAACATAAATTCCATGTGAAATCAAAATTGACAACATTTATTTTACTAGCACACATTGTTATTCTTTAGGTGAATGATTATTCAGTTAATCCACTGAAAGACATCTTCAATCAAAGTCTGACCATTTGCTTAAGAGTTTGGAGTGGTGGTCCTTGGAGTGGCAAAGTAACCACGCCTAAACAAAAATGTCTAATCAGCAACTCAATACATTTAGGCATGTAGCCATGGTCAAGACGATCTGCTGCAGTTCAAACCGAGCATCAGAATGGGGAAGAAAGGTGATTTAAGTGACTTCAAATGGTTGTTGGTGCCAGACAGGCTGGTCTGAGTATTTCAGAAACTGCTGATCTACTAGGATTTTCACGTACAACCATCTCTAGGTTTTACAGATATTGGTCCGAAAAAGAAAGAATATCCAGTGAGCAGCAACTCTGTGGGCGCAAATGCCTTGTTGATGGCAGAGGTTAGAGAAGAATGGCCAGACTGGTTTTAGCTAATAGAAAGGCAACATTAACTCAAATAACCACTAGTTACAATCTAGGCATGCAGAAGAGCATCTCTGAATGCACAACATGTCGAGCCTTGTTGCTGACCATGTCCATCCCTTAATGACCAGTGTATCCATCTTCTGATGGCTACTTAAAGCAGGATATGTTATAAAGTGTAAATTATCTTACTGGTTTTCTTGAACATGACAATGAGTTCACTGCACTTAAATGGCCTCCACAGTCCCCAGATCTCAATCCATGTGGTGATATGGGAGATTCACATTATGGATGTGGAGCCGAAAAATCTGCAGCAACTGCGTGATGCTATCATGTCAATATGGAGCAAAATCTCTGAGGAATATTTCCAGTACCTTGTTGAATCTATGCCACGAAGGATTAAGGAAGTTCTGAATGCAAAAGGGAGTCCAACCTGGTACTAGTAGTAAGGTGTACCTAATAAAGTGACAAGTGAGTTTATAGCAACAAAACTTATGCAATAATAAATGATATTATTACCATTTTAAGACCATTTTGACACTGTAATAACATCATAATGCAAGTACACTCTTCCAAAGAACACATAATATTTTATTCCTTAGAATATTTCATTTAATCAGTCATTTTAACAATTTAATAAATTGGCAGTCATTACTGAAGCCAAATCTCGAATTTATCAAACATATAACTTACAATAGCCGTCCAAAAACTAGTACAGTCTAATTTTTTATATTATAGAAAAATATTAAAAACGATTTAAAAAAACAAAGTAGAAAAATCAAAAGCAAAAAAAAAAAAAAAAAAAACGTAAAAATTTAGTTGCAATACTTTGTTTAATTTTTATTTGTATATTTCAATTCCTAAATATGTTTGGTGACTAAAATATTATTTTAATAAATGTTTAGTAAATCTGTTTTATTTAAATAATGGATGCAAATATTCATTTTTTTAAAATACCGTGTACTCAATTATGCTGAGCACTGTATGACTGTTCAGACGGAAAGAAACTAAAACAAAACAACACAAGATTTGGGGCTGCTTTTCATTTTGTCTAAATGTTTAGTCTGAAGTGTAAAATATAAGCTCGCAATTCATATATATTTACGCAGAAGTTTATCCAAAGCTTTCATATGCCCCATGAGGGTTTACATAAAACAGTTGAGCAACTCAATGTTAATTTTTAACTGCACTAAACCAGCAGTGTACTAAAAAAGTATTTTTCTCACATAAAAAACAAGAACTACAAAAGCTGACAAGCAACACTAAATTAGTGTTAAATACTCAGATTTTGTCAAATACTAATGCGCAATATGGAGAGACAAAAAATCTGGAGGACACAGTGGAAATCTCCATAATGAAGGGATAATAAAGGGGTAGTTCACCAAAAAATATTTCTGCAATTATTGAACTTTTTCTAAACCTGTTTGTTTTCTTATTTCTGTTGAAAACAAAAGATATCTTCAACAAATGTAGTAACATCTAATCATTTTCCATGGTAAGACAAACACTGTACGTAGTAACAGGTTTCCAGCATTTCTCAAAATTGCTAGAAAAACGAAGAATGTACAATGTAAATGTACAATGCCAAAATGTAATAAGGGTTTCTGTACAATTTTAGCAATGTATTCAATAGGCCTATATGACTTAAAACGTTCATTTATGATCACCTCGATATGTTCTCAATTAATAACACGCAAAATAGCCTACCTATGACGATCAGAAAACATGGCACTCATGACAGCAGTTTTGGTTGTGCGTGTAGGGCTGACATGCTGTATCCCAACACTGGCAGATGTTTACAATAATTCAACATGATCATAACTCAAACACATACACACGCGCGCGCGCGCACACAGTGCATGTTAGACAGATACAATACCAGAGGGAGCATTAGCATAGCAGCGAATTGCCATTATTTGCTCAGATGGTTCCCGGCATTAACACACACAGAGCTCCATGTAATGAACACAGGCAGACTCTCTAAAGCACTGAGGTTTGTATTCTCAGCTTGTCTCCCCTCAGAATAAAAGAGAAGCAGAGGCTGCTTTTGTTTCAGTCTATTTCCCTCCGAATAGTAATGAGCAGGCAGTGAAGACAGAACTTGTTTTCTTAACGATACTCTACCTGTGTGACTCCAGATTTTAAAGATTTATCGGATAATGTATTCACATCAAGTTCAGTCTTGCCGTCTCGTTTGTCTGCCTGCTCTCTCTAACGTTAAACTTGTCAAACATAGGCTACATGTCACTCTCTCAGCTGCAGGTGGTGCTAACTGCACTATATTCACAACGCACTGGCCATAGCTTTTTAGTAGCCTACTCACATTCATTAATTTATTTTCAAACAATAAAGCTGGATCCGACAAATCAGTGGCTAAAGTTAAACGTAACTACCTCACCTTGTTTATCGAGTCCAGGATTTTTGTGTACAACAGCTTCATGAAGTAGCAGATCATCTCAGATGACAAAAAATATAATAATAATAATAATAATATTATATATATATATATATATATATATATATATATATATATAAATATATATATATATATATATATATATATATAAATTTATATACATACATTTTTTACACCACATCTAACAGTTTTCTTGAAGTTGTGTGAACACCATTAATCTATTATTCAATGGAAAAGAGCACCTTGAAAATACTTTAAATAGCCTGTAGACCTTTAAATAGTGTATTTTCGTGAAGATAACACATTGAAATGCATAATTTAAAGAATGGGTTAGCCAAGAAAATTAATGACAGAATATTCTATTTACACAGTATATTTTATTTTGGTGCAGTATAGATAAGTAAATGACATCCCATTGTGGATGTGGGTTTCAAATGTGTGTGTGTGTGTATATATATATATATATATATATATATATATATATATATATATATATAGTCTGTATACTCTATGTTTATATATAGATATTTATATCGATTGACTTTAAGAAAACAGCTCTAACATTCTTCAAAATATCTTCTTTTTGTGTTTCACAAAAGAAAGACCACAATACAGGTTTCTTTGTAGTAGTATTTTAAATTATGTAAATTAAAGTAAATTAACCCTTAGATTAAACACCGTATTAAAATTCACAATAAAAATTTGTTAAATGCCTTTAAATAATCGTTACCTATTAGGCATGGGTTGGTATAAGATTCTGACTAAATGATAACCTTGGATGAAAATATCATGGTTTTGGTATTACTGCTCTAAAATATATTCTATTTAAATTTCCATGTAAAAAAAAACAACAAAAAAAAATCCCCTTTGAACAAAATATATTTCTTTTGAGAAAGATTTAAAATATTTTGGGGCAGTAAACCAGCTAAATAATTCAAATGAATCATTGACTTCTGCTGTCTTCTTTAGTTTCAAAAACAGATTATTATTTTTTTTTTGCAATTTAAAGTGGCATCTTTAGATATCTTTTCTGCTGGTAATACTGTTGTCCTAAAAAGCAATAAATAAATAAATGAATAAAAAAACTGTTTAAAACCTTGAATTTTCTAAACTGTGATTTACCTTGAAAACATTTATCATCCCATGCCTGTTACCTATACACATTTTTACAGCACATACAGTATATGTTGTTCATTGCTTTTTTTACAGTGTACATGAGGGTGAATAAGTTGTAAATATTTAAATGATAAAATAACAGATCATTAGCTCCTGTGCGTTGAAGACATGAAAAAGCCAGACAAACTTAAGTCCATTTTTTTATTTTTTTCTAACTGCAGATTTAAGGAATACAACTGAACATTGTTATCTTGAGACTCATAAATAAAAAAAAATACAAAATAAAAAAAAACACTACAAAAACAATCTACTGTTAGTAGGATGTAAAAAATATCTTTCACTATTAAAGGCACAAAATTTACTTGGTGACAACACTGAGAAGAAAACCTGCAGCATTCAATCTCTTTAAATTCTTTATTTTTTCACACTCCATCAGAGAACACTGAAATGTTACAAAGAGATGTGTCTGATCCTACACCAAAAGAAAGACTACATCAGGAAACTGATGCCAATATCTGTAGCACGACATCCAGAAAGTGGTGCTACAAAAAATAGCATGTTGCTGGAAAAGACAAAGGACCGTTGCAAAGCTCTAATGCAAATTAAATTTTTTTTTATACAATTGACAACAAACAAAACAGAAAAAAAATTGGGCACCTTCTAAGATTAGGCTAAGATTAGGTGCTGAGGTAGACGTAACTACAACAATTCAAATAATAATAATAGAACAAACAAAAATAAAAACCCCAGAAACAAAACACTATATTCTCAAAGAGCAACAGGACTGGCACTTGTGCTGTCACAAGAGGGAAAAATACAGACAAGCCAAGGAAAGGAGACGAGGATACAGTACAGAAAGAGAGAGGGGGACGAGAAACCGCTTTGTTACATAAAAAGCTTAGTTATGCTTGGTCCGACAGGGCAATTGGTCCTCAGTGCTAATATATAAAAAAAAAGACAACGTCTTGGTGCTTTGTTACTGAAACAGTTTAGTTTTGACCTCAATGGCACATGCATGGCAACACAGCATGAAATGGCTACTCTTTCTAAACACCACACTGGAACACAGTGAGCCACTCCAGGGATGCAATGATGACAGCTTTCTTTAACGTAAGTACTTTAAACAACAAAGGCATCAACAATCCGAATGGTAAAGAGACGTTGTTGAAAGGTTTAATCAGCAAACCTGTTGCTGAAGATATAGGAGAAATAAAAAGGAAACGAAAGTAAGTTTGATTCTCAAACATTAAGTTTTTTTTCCCCTCAAAGCAGGATTACAATTCATTGTGAAAAACGCACATATTCCGATCCAAGGAATGTTTGGCTTGTCTTTTCAAAGCGTGTATAAAACACTACAATACTGCTGCATTTGATCGCTGGCCAGTGGAGCCACTGAAAATGGATCAAACATTTATTACTCAAAACAAAGTAAGTTGACTTGAGATCATCATGGCACCCCTGGAGCCCTGAAGACACCAATAATTTTCTTGAAAATACAGAAACTAAGCAGATATATTTGGACAATTTGTTGAACAATTTCATTTAGGCACAAAGATATTACAGAAACATCAGAAGAACATTGAGGGAAGAACTATATCAATGCCAATATTTTTTAATCACGGTGAGAGAAAAAGTGGCATAGAACGACTTTCAGATTAGTGCATTTGACACTAATGTGCTCGCGCACACACATACACACACACACGCACTCATTCGGTCTCACACACACACACACTCTCAAAACAAAGTACAAAATCAAAGTTACACTAGCATGTGACTTAATATCTCGTATTGTTGCCACATATTGCAAAACTCTGTTTTACCCATTTAACATCAGTCGACATTATCCATTTACAGAACAAAATATATAATATTTCTGCCTTTTTTCATGGAGCTACTAGTTTTTCAATTCTCACAGGAGGCAAAGGATGCCCAAAAACTCACAGTGTTTTCCAGAAAACAACGGCAAGACACACGACAATCACATTTCCTTTGACGCGTCCTCCCATCCCTTCTTTTAGTCACTTCAAGTAAAAATAAAAACAAAACGTTGGCAACGATGATTGTTTTGTCTGAGATATCGTGTGCAATGGAATCGATCATTGGCATCACTTGTTTTTTTTTTCATTTGTTATTTTCACAAAGGAGAATGTGGCTGATTTAGTCCTTCACCTGCAATGTATTGACATCCAGAAAGCAACATTTACCACTATAGGATCACGCACTGTCCAACATTATTACCGAAGAGGAGCAAGGCAAACGATTCAAACGAGAGAATAATGATATAAAAAATGAACTACAAAGTTTTGCCCCGCTGCAACCTCAACAAATGGAAAAAAGGGACTGACACTTAATACAAAAATATCACAATTTTATATATCAAATGGCCTCTGTTGGCTCTTGCTCAGGACTACACTCATACAAAGAAACATGTCAACTGACAGTATTTTATTTTCATTTTTTTTTTTTAATCTTCCTTTCGTCTTTGATTACCACTTGCAGTCCCAATTGTCCAACGCACAATGCACTGCTGCATATGACCTGTTCTCGTTGGCTCGCGCTAGGCGAACCTCTTTTTTTCACATTACAAAACTACAATTCTATTCACATATTTTCAAGTTTAACGTTGTTGTTTTTTATTCTTTTATTTTTCAGACTTCACTTGTTCCATACGCACCTCCCAGATCAACTCCAACCCCGAACTTAAGGCTTCAGAAATCTCTTTTCTGATCTTAAGGTAACATTTACAGGGGTGGGGGGACTGACATGGAAAGTTATGATTATTATTTTTTAACCCACCTTTCCTATAAGCAAATCTTACCCTTTCATGTTCATCGCTTCCCACATACAACACTTGAAAGCGTGAGATGAAGTTGCAATAATGCAAAACACAATGTGCTTTTGCAAACGAAACACAACAAAACTTAGAGGTAGCTTACAAAAATGACCAAACCCACCAGCTCTTTAACAAGCAGGGTTAGTATAAACAATAATACCAAATTTGGTAAGATTAATGCAAAGAAAGAAACAAAAATCAAACGAAAACAAGACAAATAATCTCTCTTCACCATGGCACTTAATTTCTTAAGTACTTAAAAGCACTCGCCACTTCTCCAAAGACATACGCACGGCAGACAATCAAATATACAAAAGGAAAAAGTAAAACACTAGCACATGAGGTCACAACAAAAAACAAAAACACGAAACGAGGTAATTCAAGTACGATGTGCTGAAGTAAATCAAGGTATAATAGGAAACACAGACAAAGCAAAAGGAACCAAACCGAAAGAGTGGATCTGCTCTGTTCTTTCAAACCCCGGCGTCCCCGGCTGGACAGGCCGAGCCTCATGAACACACGGATATGTTCGTCACAGTGGCACTCAGTCTACAAGCCACCCAACAAAAGCAGCTTCAGTCATCATTTTGGTCTCTATAACAACAGCATAAACAGTTAATTAGATGTCTAGTGTGTAATGGATGTTCTGGATGTATTGCCAAGTTACTCGTTTCAGACGGTTAACTGATTTTCGAAGCAAAGGAGGAGATAACTGATACAGTGTGCGTGTTATCCAACAAAAACTGTTGTCGTGAAGTCAGCTTGTAATGCGCGCTATTAAGTCGAGAGCTTAACAAAAATAAAACGTGAAAAATGACATGAGTACTGAGAGCTTAGCTGATTTGTATGCTGGTTAAACCAATAAGCCCTTAATGAAAGTGAATCATATGGGAGGTATCTACACGCCGACTGCTGCTTTTTTTCTGTAGTCCCAGTTTGCTTGCTGTGAAGTACCTGACGGATCTAAGTGCTGCGATCAAGCCGATCAGTCAGAGATAAACAAACTCTGCATCTCTATCGTGAACCAGAAGAGGGCGTCCTTACTAAAAGGAGAAATCAATGAAGTGTGTGTGTTGTTTGAATGATGTCTAACATCTAAGATGCAAGCCGTTGTGTAGACAGTGAGCTTCCCATATGATCCCAACAAAAATGATTATAATGTGATGCAGTTTTTGCGATACTGACGGGTAAGATTTCTGCTTTATTTTTTTTGTTAGTTCCTGTCCGTTCCCGTTCCACCTTGCCTCCTTCTGATAAATCCGTCCATTTCCTGACTGTGTTTCCAGGCGCTTTTACCCATTGGCCCTCCCGCTCCCGTCCCTCCCCCTGGCTGGCTCGCCCACCTGCCGCTTCAGACGTAGCAGAGGTAGAGGTAAGTCTTCTCTATCCTCCAGTCGGGCGGGATGTCTTCAGGCTTGTGGCCCTTCATGTGCTTCTGCATGGCGGAGAGGCTGGGGCAGTACTCCAGGCAGATGGTGCACTGGTACGGTGAGGCTCCGTTGTGGGTGCGCAGGTGTTTGATCATGGCCGAGTAGTCCCTGGAGCGCTGGTGGCAGAGCTTGCACTCAAACGGCTTCTCACCTGCACGGGGACACAGAAAAAGTCATGACTTTGGAAGACACGTCAAGAGATGTTTCTGCTTCTACACTTGATATTTCTGATAGAAAGTCAGTAACCAAAGGAGTGTCTCCTGGTGTATATCAGGCATAGGGTTGAGAAACGGGTTAATAGTTAATCGATTCTGTAACTGATAACTAATATTTCTTACATAAATAGACATGTACATTTGACATTTAGAGCTTTTTTTTCTTCAGAATATCACAATTGTTTAAAAATCTTTTTTTTCTTCTGATTTTTCAGTTATTCAAACAAAGATGGCACCTTTTGTGTTATTTTATGCAAAAAAAAAAAAAAACATTTCAAATTTCAAATGAATATAAAAATACAGTTCCATTGAACTTTCTATTGATAAACACAAAATGATTTCACAACTGAATCAAATTTTTTTTCTTGCAATTTTGGCTCTGAATCCAAGAACTGCAATAAAGAAGGAATTGTAAAGGGAAAGGCCAGAACTGTAATATCTACAATCAGAATTATGTGATAACCTTTAAATTGTGAGATAAAAAGCAACATTTTCACATTATAGATAAAACATTGAAATAGAAATCAGTTACTATTCAACAGTGGTGTAAAGTAACAAAATGACAAATACTCAGACTACTGAACACAAGGGAATATTTGGAAACATTTTGGAAACCAGCAGCCATTGACACCTATAGTGGGAGAAAAAGTACTAAGAAAGTCAATGGTGCTGCTTTTCAACACGGTTTAAAATCTCGTCTTTCGCATGCAACTGAACTGCAACGATTTTTTGTGAGCTATCCCTTTTATACAGGCATGTCCCTGAATGTCCAGATTATACATGAGTGTTTACATTTGTCCACAGTGCATCTTCTAGGCTTTTATCCATAGTCTCCCTCCTCAGTCTCCTTGAGGGCCTGCTGGCTTTAGCAGGATCTCTCGGAGAACAACCAGACAAGCTGTCAAAGGGCTGTTCAAACACGGTTCATATTGTAATTGTAATTTACTAAGTAGTTTTAAAAATGTGTACTTTAACTTTCCATTGAGTACATTTTTAGTGCAGTATTGGTACTTTTACTCCACTACTTTCCTTCAACCTCCAGTCATTACTGTTCTTCCCTATTGATGAGGATTAGAAAAATCAGTCCTGTAATTCCTGTACAATCAAAATAACAGATAAACAGTTAATCGCATCATACTGAACAACCTCAAGACATGGGCACTTTATAAATGCAGAAAACTGTTTGTAAGCATTAAAAGAGTCCAGGGGCGAGGCAGAGGCGCAGTAGGTAGTGCTGTCGCCTCACAGCAAGAAGGTTGCTGGTTCGAACCTCGGCTCAGTTGGCGTTTCTGTGTGGAGTTTGCATGTTTTCCCTGCCTTCGCGTGGGTTTCCTTCGGGTACTCCGGTTTCCCCCACAGTCCAAAGACATGCAGTACAGGTGAATTGGGTAGGCTAAATTGTCCGTAGTGTATGAGTGTGTGTGTGTGTGTGTGTGTGTGAATGTGTGTGTGGATGTTTCCCAGAGAGGGGTTGTGGCTGGAAGGGCATCCCCTGAGTAAAAACTTGCTGGATAAGTTGGCGGTTCATTCTGCTGTGGCGACCCCGGAATAATAAAGGGACTAAGCCGACAAGAAAATGAATGAATGAATAAAAGAGTCCAAAATCATTATGCGCAATGGTTGAGAGACTATATATATATATATATGTATGTGTGTATATATATGTATATATATGTATGTGTGTATATATATATATATATATATATATATATATATATATATATATATATATATATATATATATATATACTACACTTCCTAATCTGTAATTGCCTCTCTGAATATCACACTAACTGCACAAAAAAAAAAAAAAAAAAAAATGTTCTCTGTATGATGAACTACCTTAATAACTAAATGCACTACAAAATTTAAAGTTTACACACATCCACAAATTACATCTAAACGCATCAACCTTTTACAGTGTAATACTCACTACTCTTCAGTACTTTTAAAAGAGCCACTTTTTACTCATACTTTCAGTAATATTTACAACAGATACTTTTACTGTACTTGCACTACATCTTTGGGCTAGTAATGGTACTTTTACTCGAGAAGGATTTTTCAGTACTCTTTCCATCACTACTGTTCAATGCCTGAAACAATTATCCGCAAAATTATATGGACATAATTAGAAAATAAATTGACATTAGAAATGTCATATTTTCCACTAGTTTTTATGATGCTACTAATTAAAAAAAAAAGAATGAAACTTTTGACATAAATAAACAGACCGTAATGCAAACTCAGTGCATTTGTTTTATTCTGATGACCTTTAAAAATGTCACTAGCGAAGGCATTGATAAGTTGCGGAGTGAAGAATGCTCGTGTTGTCTAAAGGCATGCTGGGAATGCAAAGTCTCCGCGCTGTTTGCTCAGGTCTCCTGTTTGTTTAGCGGAGGGATTGAGGAACCTTGACCTCGGCGGTTCGAGCAATGTCATGTCCGTCTGCGTTTGTGTATGCAGAGGCCCTAATGAGACGGTCATTAAACCGTCGGGACTCCAGTGATACATGCACGTGTGGTCAGTGTACTTTAACTGCACTGTAAACAGGGCAGCCTCAGATAACCAGGCAATAATGAATTGCAAATGGAGCTGAGTTATTGATTGGCTATCGACAGCAGCGGGCCTGCCAATGTCGATGCTTCATCAAGCGGCTCCCTTTTTGCATGCCGTGGCCTTTGACTGTGAGCTTGTCGTTGTTCTTGTTATCTTCGGAGTTCGGTGCTCGTTGCCAAGGCTTTGCTCCATCCCCACCCAAAGAAGCCAATTATTTGACATGCTTTCTTGATAGTTTGGCTTAACGGCATCAGTTTTTTTTTTGCTTGGCAGAGAGGGGGGGATGATCTGGTGCCCGTCGCGAGCGACCAAAAGACCTGATCTCTACAGTAACACACTAATCCCTTTGTCAAAGAGCGAGCTGACAGCACTGGAAATGGCTTGCCCTTTGGTGTGGGCTTTACAGAGCCAAGACATAGGAATCAATCCGATATCACCTTAACAATCGGAAAGGGGTCTCTTTACACAAGTCTGTGCAATGGTCTGCACTGGCATTGGCTGCAACTGTTATCTAAAGATGTGCATAACTAGTACACAGGTTACCATGAGGGATTAAAAAAAATGCAGACCAGATAGGGCACCAGACAAGCACTTACCTTGTTACTGTAAAATCAGGAATTTTCCCATGCATCATTGGTAAGATCATTATAAACTTGTGTTGTAAGCTGTGTAAATCAATGCTCTTGTTTTTCATTGTATAAGTGTAAGCAGCAGTGTCAGTAGCCCTGTATATGCAACAAGTAATTCAACAAATACAGTATATATAATATAGAAAAAGTTATGGATATGAAGATAACCGAAAGCTGTTATGTATGGCAGTAGCACTTAAGATATTTTTAAGTGCCCTCTCAAGCCATTCTAAAACTTTCAAATTTTTAGATATCTTCAGTAGATTTAGATCCAAGGTCAAAACCACTTATTTTTCTCAGTATTTTCTGCAGAAACAACTCTTTTCTCACAGTGTCTGAAATGGCTCATTCAAGGACCTGGTCTTTCTAAACACTGCTTTCTAAGAGTCTTAACTCCTCTTATTGGTCCCATGAAGTCGGAATTAATAGCCCCCCTGAATTATTAGAACCTGTTTATTTTTCTGTTCTAAACATAATAGTTTTAATAACCTATTTCTATTAACTGATTTATTTTATCTTTGTCATGATTATATTTTTCAAGACTTCTATACAGCCTAAAGTGACATTTAAAGGCTTAACTAGGTTAATTAGGTTAACTAGGCAGGTTAGGGTAATTAGGCAACTTATTGTATAACAATGGTTTGTTCTGACTATCAGAAAAAGATAGCTTCAGTAATTTTGACCTTAAAATGGTTGTTAAATAAAACAACAATAAAATTAAAAACTGCTTTTATTCTACACAGAATAAAATAAATAAAAGTTTCTCCAGAAAAAAAATATTTTCAGACATACTGTGAAAATGTCCTTGCTCTGTTAAACATCATTTGGGAAATCTTTAAAAAATAAAAAAATACATTCAAAGGGGGCTAATAATTCTGACTTCAACTTTTCATCAAGTAAACACTGAAAAGCTGCTTACGAATAGAAACGTTTTCTGAAATGTTTATTTCTAGTTAAAAGTAACATTGAAAACTGTAAAGCTGCTTGCTATTAATAAATCTACTGTATTATTCCTGTAAAGCCCACTGTTGCGGTATTACAATATCAGCAAAAGTTTTTTTTTCCCCTCAAAACCACATTTACATGATTGATGGGTCCTCACAATGCAATTATATAGAAAAGGCGTTTATAGATCAACCCATAAACTTATTCTACCTCCAGTTTTCTCATTGAGCTGATCTCCTGTTTTTGCACGTCTGGATTTGTCAAGATTTAAGTAAGTAAAATTCCTTACATATTTTTTGTGTGTTTATTACAATGTTTATAACACGTATATATTTAGAACATTTTAGAAATATATATATATATATATATATTTAGAAAACATTAACCAAATTTGATTTAGAGCTTACTATGTCTATGTTGCAACTCTACAACGTTGGGTCCGGGTGGTAGCCTGTTGCATTGTTCAGGGACAGGTGTGAATGGTCTTGAATGTGAACCTGTTAGTGTCTCTAGGGAGATGCATGTGTCACATATGATAAGTAGAGACAATAATAGGCCATTCAGACAGTATTGTATGAATGTAGTGGACTTTTGATTAGCATGTCCATTGAAATGGCACTGAAATTGTCTGCAAAATGTAAATGTGCTACAATATACTATACGTGTTACTTATCTACATTTTGTCAAACTTTTTCAGTTTCAGAATGCCATCAGTGCAGAAAAGCCATCTATTCAGTGTGCAGGATGTGATTGCTGCAGTACAAAATGGAAAGAGTTCTTTATACAGTAAGTAAACATGACATGTTTTCTACTATAACGCTGCCTTTACACTTCTGTAATTGAGATGTGTTTTTATTTTGTTGCAGAATAGATATTAAAACATATTTGAAAATCTAAAAGTGCTCATCATGAGCCTCACAAGGCCGCTCGCTAACAAAATTCTGCGGATCAGGTATCTTAAATGTTTTCACCCCTAAATGAAGAACAAATAAGAAGTTTTCTGTAAGTAACTCTGGCTTTAACACTGCACTATGTAACCACTTGAATCAACATCAGTATTTATAAACCATGAAGGTCTATCTGTCCGTCTCAACCGTCTTCACTTGATAAAAAGGAGGAAGAGTACAGTACCTGTATGAACACGGTAGTGGGTCTCTAGCTGGTGTTTGAGGCTGAACTTCTTGCCGCAGCCATTACATTCATAGGGCTTCTCTCCGGTGTGGATGCGCTTGTGTCCCTTCAGCGTGCTCTCGTCTCTGAAGCAGCTGCCGCAGAACTCGCACTCGAACGGATGGTCACCTGCTGGACACGAGTTAAGTCAGAGTGAGTGGTGCAAAAGGTTAAGCCAATCGTAATACACTATAATTTACAAGTCATTTTTATACCTCTACTGACAAAAACAAGGTTAGTCTAGGGTCAGATACTTAAACCAAAGACATACAGTATTGTGCAATGTTTGACACATTGGAAATAAATCATATAACAAGTAATTTTTTCACAAAAAACAACAACAGGCAATCAATTGTAAGAATGACGTCCAATGTGTGTCAGCTTTAGCCTTAAGCGACCGGTCTATAATATTTATTTCAAATCAAGCTCTTCGTACATCATCATCAGTTGTCTTTTATAGGTCATTTCGGTTCCATCTTCCTGTCTTCCTGCACTGTAATGGATATTCAGAGGTCAGTAATCAGCGATATTATAATATGCGGGGGTGTTTCTTTTTCTGCTCTGTGCACTAATTGCGTTTCTGTGTCTCACTATCAGCGAACCATATATCATTCTCTCTCCGTACAGATGCACGAGTCTGCCAGGCGTGTAATGTTCCCCATATTTAATGCATTTCACTTCTGCGCGGAGGGTTTAAGTCATCGTCTATGACCTACGCGTTTCATTATCTGGCTGTCCGAGCGGCACCGTGCCTGGGAATAAATTGCATTTCTCGTTATGTACTGTCATGCTCAGACTCTCGCCGCCTCCCGTTACCAGACAATGTCAATTTCCTCAGGCACGTTTTGTGGCGAGACACAGCTAAACGCCTCACATTTACACGGCTGCTCAAGCTCCACCGTCTTTCACTTCACCAGTAATGGGAGAGAGAGGGGGGAGAGGGAAAAAAAAAAGGGAAGACACACACACACAGACACAAAAAACCCCACACATTTCAGAAATCAATAAAAGTGACAGTATTTATTTGTGTGCATGAAGTTATCAGTCGCTGTAAGAAATTTGGCGCTTCAAAATGCCTCCTCCGCAGAAGAGATCACAATCCGTCAGGCTTCCTGACTGCTCCTCAGCACACGACGAGAATAGCAATGGTGCCAAATTCACCTGACTTTAATTGCACCTAAGCTGGCGTTTCAATCCAAGACATCTGCGCTAGCCTCCGTAAAACTGGCCATGAGTTAAATCCTCGGGCTTGTTTCTACCTTTGGTAAAAAGAATCTTTAATCTTTATTTGACAAAATAATTTGTGACAGCTCTCTCTTGATACCATGAGGCACAAATTCATATCGTAATACTCGTCTGGTATTTTTTTTTAGGCTACCTGTTATGTAAATGCGCCGTGTCGCTGCTATAAACAGAAGGCAATTTGCTTATCAAATTCTGTTTGGCGGCTTTGCTTTGTTTGGAATACATTAAGCTTTGAGGCAGTAAAGATACAAGGTGATAGATCAAGATGCTGTCAGCGGCTGCGTGTTTCTCGCTTCCTTTCTGTGTCTGTCTGCAAGTCTGGTGGCTGTAAGGCACAAAGACATTTGGGAAGCTCGGGGGCTGCCACCTGCGTCCCTACGCCCCGGGGGAGTGTTGCGGTGGCGTACCTGGCCAGGGTCTGCGGGCACCGCCTGGCGCCTGGCAGGGCCGAGGCTTATGTTAAGGCAGGGGCCGAGTTCATTATGCGCTAAGCAGCGTAAATCAAGGATCCATCACTGCCAGGGTCTCGACTGGGCTGCACTATCAAACACAGCTGCGAACACAAAACACCCGCCGCAGATGGAAAATGGGCTCCGAATAAAACACAAGCACAGAACAACAACGGAATATTAACGAGGCTCGGCCGGCAGCGTGCGGATCGGAAAGGGGGAGCGAGGGGGCTGCCATGATTATCAGCCCTAATGGATGCCAGCGTTCGCTCACACTGTGCGCGCCTGTAAAAGTACATGAGCAAGTACGTTCAAGAACACAAATTCCTCTCTAAAATCAGCAGAAATGCGTGTAATCATTTTCTGAAATCCTGTCAAAATTGGTTCCGCATCAGCATTTAGGCTGAGGTATGACTGAAATCAAATTTAAGCTTGGGTTTGAATTACTGAGTAATGACTGTGTGGGCCCATAATCACTCATTTAAGTTATTTTTGAGTGGGCAGCACGCACACACACACTCATGCAGAGTAAAAAGGGATATATGACAAGCTAGTGCTTGTTTCTACAGTGCAGAGATTTAAGGGGAAAAGCGAAAAAACAAACAAAAAGAAAACATGAAAAATACTTTGTGATTATCTTTGAACTATGACTAGGGATGTCAATGGATTGTGACATACCTGTAGTATCTCAAACTTATTTGTTTGCACAAAAATATGCACAAACTATATACACTATCGGTCAAAAGTTTGGGGTCAGTTTTTTCATGTTTTTTTTAAAGAAATTATTCTGTTTATCAAGGGTATTTATTAAATGGAAAACAAATTGTTAAATACTTATTTTATTAAATATAATTTATTGCGAAATTAATACTCCCGTCATTATTGATTTGTTGCCATTACCATTATTAATAAAAATATTAATAATAATAATATTAACAATAATTAATATTAAAGTGATTTCTGAAGGATCATGTGACTGGAAGTAATGAAGCTGAAAATTTATCTTTAAAATCACTGGAATAAATGATTAAATTAAATGATAAACTACTTTTTAATAGTTATTTTGTAGTGCAATAACATTTCACAGTTTTACAATTTGTACTCTGCTATTTATTAATGAAATAAATGCAGGGGCGATGCAGTGGCGCAGTAGGTAGTGCTGTGGGTTCCGGGTGCTCCAGTTTCCCCCTGAGTCCAAAGACATGCGGTACAGGTGAATTGGGTAGGCTAAATTGTCCGTAGTGTATGAGTGTGTAAAACGTGCTGGATAAGTTGGCGGTTCATTCCGCTGTGGTGATCCCGAATTAATAATGGGACTAAGCCGAAAAGAAAATGAAAAATTTTTGAAAAATGAATAAGTCTTGGTGAGCAGGATGACCTTATTTTAAAACATTTAAAAATCCAACTGACCCATAACTTTTGACCAGTAGTGTACATTTCTGTAAAGTTCTTTAACCAAAAAAACTGTTGATTTTTCAAGACAATAGTATACGGCTAAAAGTGAGATTTAAAGACTTAACTGGGTTAATTGGGTTAACTAAACCGGTTAGAATCATTAGGCAAGTTATTGTTTAAGGATGGGGCTAACGATTTTAACCTTAAAATGTTTTTAATTATTTAAAAACTGCTTTTATTCTGGCTGAAATAAAACAAATAAGAACTTCTCCAGAAGAAACATACTGTGAAAATTTCTTTGCTCTGTTAAACATCATTTGGGGAATATTTAAAAAAGAAAAAAAAACTAATATTTCTGAACTGTAAGTTTACCAAGGCTACATTTACTTCACAAAAATGCATAGAAAAAGTAAGATTGTGGAATAATATTACAATTAAAATAAACGCTTTTGTTTTAATAAACGTTATTTATATTTTAAACATTTATTACTCATCTTCAGTGTCATGTGAACCTCGAAAAGTAATTCTATACTGATTTAGTGCTACAAAAATCAATAAAAAAGTTTATCAGCTTTGAAAAGAAGTTGTTGCTTTCTTAAAAGCAAGTTTACTAAACAGAAATTATTTTAGCCAAATACAGTTCAGATGATAAAATCTCTAAATGCCATCTGAAATTATTTGTATTTTTCTCAGCCTCCTTTTTATGTTAAGTTATATCACTTTAAAGGCTATGAAAATAACTTATTCGTCACTACAAAAGTAACATTTCTGAGCCTACACACAAAAATCAAATAAAAATGATAATTTTAGAAGAAAATGTCAAACGGCATTGAAGTTCTAAACTACAATCTAACTACATCTAAACTCTCTCTCTCTCTCTCTCTCTCTCTCTCTCTCTCTCTCTCTCTATATATATATATATATATATATATATATAAAAACTGTATCTTTACTTATTCTATTTTGCATCCTTTATGAATTAAAGTTTACATTTATATAAAAAATATCTACATTTGTTTATTTTTACATTACTTAAAATAGATTCATTAATTTTAAATAATGCAGCATTGTATATACAGATTTCAATTTCCAACATTTCCATGGCCCACATTTCCAAATCGTGAACAGTCTTGATGAATAAACTATTCATAAGTAGTTCAAAAATAGTTCATTACCATTACAGAGTCAATCATACTGATATTCCAAATGAAGAAATGTGAAACCACTTAATGCATGTTTAACGTCAATCTGGATTAGATTAACAAATAAATAAGAAGACTTGAAAGGCTAACAAATGTATTTATATGAACCGCCTGATGAGTCACACACAGTAGTGATTGTTTAAAGTCAAACCTAATAATGGAAACTAATTATACTAACAATAATTCTAAATTACATGCAAAATACACCAAGCAAAATACATCTGGTGTGGTATTGATGAAAGAGTACTCGAGCCCTTTTGACGTTGCTGTAGGAGTACATAAGATAAAAAAAGGTTGGGAAACATGGCTTTAGAGGAATATCCATTGCTTATCACATCAGCGACTCAGTTTCCGGCATTAAAAAAACACTGTGAATGAGATTAAGAAGATCAAAGGAGAATTAAATGCGAGCAGCCAGTCTTCTTTTTTTGTCCTCTTAAAAAAATAAAAAGACTTATTTTCAGTGGTTTTCGCAAGTGCCAATAGCAGTTTTTTCCTTTCAGCTCTTTGACAAAAGCCCCCACATCACATTAAACGGGTGCTTGCTAGCGCTCATTGTAATTTAATACACGCCTACAGAGAATTGGGTTCAAACTAGCGCGACGCTGCGTCACAGGCTCTTCTCTCTCCCTCCGCTCCACCGTTGACATTTATGTGTGCAGGCGGCAGAGTCGGCTCCGATGTGCGGCCCGCCGAGGACAAGCGAGTACAGTAAGCATTCGGCCGCCTTGTACCGCCAGCCGGCCAATAAGGGCAGAGCGGCCCGTAAACAGGCGGGCTTTGCTCATCTCCCGCTTTCGCTTCAAATATTCATCCCGACCGCCACCGAATAAAGTAACTCTGACACATCTGGCTGTTATTTAAGGTCAGAGACGATGGGGAAAAAGGCTTTCTCGAGAAAATGGGATTCATTTCCAGCGTCTCATATTCGGAGACAGTAATGGAGAGCGCTCCACGAGTCGCCACATCTGCTCAGCTGCACGCCTGGCCACATGGGGATGGATCTGCCATATAGCAGGACCGGTCCGACTGGGGAGGGCGATATCTGCGCTGTCACAAGCCATCACAGCTCTGTGGCCTTTCGCTAAATGACATGTCACTTCAGCCTGCTATCTTCATTCCATCCACCTCCATCCAGAAGGTGATGGGATGACGGGTGGAAAAAAAAAAGGCATTACAGTGACTGTACCAAAGACCTGATTTAAACAGTCTTCAGGGTGAACCACTTCTCAGCATGTTTAAAATAATCATTTGGATGTGCAGAAAACATCAAAGCATCAAATTAGTATGTATTACTGCTCCGTTCCAAAAAATGTAGCTCCTGAGGCCACCGGTTTAAGCAAATATGTGACATTAAGAAACACAAAACCAAGTGGTAAAGAGCTGATGGGAGACCTGTATGCGAACGGAGATGGCGCTTGAGTGCGGTGTGGCTGGGAAATGTGCGGTTGCACTCGCTGCAGATGTAGCTGCGCACGCCTGCGTGAACCTCCATGTGCTGCTGCAGAGCCGTCTGCGTCTGAAAGCGTTTTCCGCACAGCAAACAGAAGATAGCCATATCTGATCCTGCGAACAGAGAGAGCGACATGTTAGCATGCATTCATTCATTTTCTTTTTGGCTTAGTCCCTTTATTAATCAGGGGTCACCACAGCGGAATGAACTGCCAACTTATCCAGCAAATGACTTACACAGTGGATGCCCTTCCAGCTGCTACCCATCAATGGGAAACACTCATATACACTCATTTATACACATAAGGTATGGACAATTTAGCTTACCCAATTCACCTATAGCGCATGTCTTTGGACTTGCGGTGGAAACCGGAGCACCCAGAGGAAAACCACATGAAAACAGGGAAAACTCCACACAGAAATGCCAACTGACCCAGCTGAGGCTCGTTAGCATACATGTTTGAAACCATAAAAAAAATATTTTTAAAGGTTTTAGTTAACGAAAATTGTAAAATTGACTTTTGGGGCAAGAAAAGTTCAGAATTAGATTTTTTTTTGAGTTTGGGGAGCAAGGAACAACACAATCTGGCAACAAAAACAAAACATGTGGTCCATTGCACTCTTTAACACTCAAATTATAATCAATCAATCAATTAACATGGCAAGATGCAACTGTTTTCTTTGTGACCATTTCAAAATACTGCAATAAGTAGTCAGAATATTGAATGTAGAATGAATATGGAATACTAAATGAAAAACAAATGGCATTTGAGAATAATAATGATTGAACATTTAATAAAAACTATTTGACTTCATGTTGTACTTTTTAAATTGATGCCTCTGACTGGCTTGTGCATTCTAAAGCTCAACAGAATCACGTCTGATTAGTTGTACTGCTCAATGCTGCAAAAATGTGCAACAAGAAAAGTGATGCAACGGCTACAGATCTAAACGTAATGCCACGAACTGACACTTTTAATTCATTTTTATATTTTCCTTTTATTACAACAGTTGTGATACTCTCATACACAGACTGCGGGCCCATGTCTCTTTTAATAGACCCATTATTAAGATTTGGAATTAATAACTTTAAAGACACCCTGGAGTACTTTTTAAAAAATATTTTAAAAAGATTTGTGTGTTGAGCATCAGTTAAGAAAACATTAGCACCAGTGAGCTTTAATTGTGGGAAAAATCGGATATTTTTGAGCTTTTGTCAGCTAATTTCATCGTCCGGGTTTAAAATAATTTTTGGGGTGGGATCAAATTCGGTGACATAGCGTGAATCTGCTAGTGGAGTGATGATGCGTCGGTTCTCATTATTATTCATAGCGGAGTTTTCTTATACTATGAAAAGACCCTGCTTCTTAATTACTCATGAGACTGCATTCTTTACGAAGGCAAAGCAGACCTGCCAAGCTGTAAGACCCAATGACCGAGTCAGACTGTGTCTGGGCACGGGACGGGTCGTATGTGTTTGTTGCATGTTTTTCCCCATGATTATGTCAGGGACGAAACAGCAAAGCTGTTGATTTGCAGCAAGCAATTTTGTCGAAAGAGCTTGTATGAGAATTAGAGAATGGCGGACATTGTCTTTTATCAGTTGAGTTTGTTAACATTTATACACATCGCCTACCCATGCTGCTTCGTTCACTCATGTTCAAAATCCACCAGATTAACGGCAGAGTTAATGCTTGAAATAGACAGGGAAAAAGAGCTGCACTGAATGCAGTGCATTCAGACCCGGGGATTGAGGAGGAGAGAAGTCCATTACAAACACTATTATCTTTGTACTGATACAACAAATTGGAGTTATGTGAATATAAAATTACGATTAACACGTGTAGCATTAAATTACTTGCTGCTTATTTCTTTGCATCTTAACTTTGCAAACTATAAAATCATGGGTCTCCTCATGGTTTGTGTCACATTTTGTGAGCCAGCTGACAACAGTTGTTTACTCCCCTCTTTTTCCCCTGCTATGCTGGCCACGCCCACTCCTCTTCTCACAGAGCTCCACACCCATCTCTGAGCACTTTTTGAAAGAATTCTGAAGTAGACTTGAACAGAAAGAGGGGGGTTTCATGGCCCTTTAAACTAAACATTTGGGAACATTTTGGCTTAAGAACTTGAACTGTCTTTAATTCAATTCAGAAAAACTAGATACGTTTTTGAAAGCAAAACACAATGCCATGAACTGACACTTTAATTTCAAAAGTGGTAGTAGATTTTGTTCTACATTCGCTGGAACATTTTTAGAGTGCTTTTTGTTCTTTACTTTGTAATTTTTGCCTCAAGCCCCCAATAGTTTTTGAACATGTGCAGGACTACTATTTGTCTGACCCCTTTTAGCAAACAATCATTATTTTTACAATTTATTTTGGCAATTTACAAAGTACAGAAATTACAGGTTGGGAATCACATGATCACTGCAAAAACTAGACAATCAAGCTGAAAAAGACAAAGATTCATTTAGAAAACAGCCTCAGTCTTTGCGGATCAATAACAGAATCTAATTCAGTTCCACAGGGTGAGATGCACATATAATACAGTGTCATAAGAGGTCAGCGGAGAGATAAAGGAAATGACAAAACAACTAGATTGGTTAGCTTGAATTAATATCAGCAAATCACAAAAATCTACAGTTGCAAAAAAAAAAAAAAAAAAAAAAGATACACCTGGGTGTTTAAGAAGATAAAGCGAACAAAGTGAGCAATTTTTCCCTTTCTTTTGCTTCACTCTCATACACACAGACTCACTTCACACTTTTTTCAATTATCAGGCTCTAGAAAACTCTGGGGAAAGTGGGAGTGTTTTAAGCTCCGCTTCTATTTCATGAGTCGATAACACATCTTTGGGGCAAAGCTGCCACTAATTTAAAAATCTATGAGGAGCCCCAGTCTCATGTTCATAAAGCTCGATCAATCAGCATTTGCTGGGGAAAAAAAGCAGGAGCGATTGAGAGGATGAGAGGAGGAGTTGGAGGTGAGCGAGAGAAACGACTATTCCTGTTCTTAAATCTCAGACAGTGCAGCTGAATTGCTGCTTCTCTGTAAATAAATACTGACAAGCCTTCCTTCTGGCTTTCTCTGGTCTCCCTCCCCCTCTCGCTGTCTCCATCTTTAATGACTCTTTACGTCTCTCAGTTTATCGATGAAAAAAACAAGGGGAGGGCATCGATTATGGAAGGGAAATTCGTAAAGAAGTTTGCTTCAGGAAGGCCAAACTGAAAACTGCAAAGAAACAAATAGAGCCACATTTTTTTTGAGTGGATAGATGGGGGGCAGATGAAAGACCAGGGTGACAGGAGGAAAGAGGGCAGGGGGTCGGGAGGAAAGGCTCTGAGGAATGCGAGAGGTTAGGTGGACTGTGACCCACGGAGCTCAAGGGTCTGGATGGGGCGGAGGGAAAGACTAAGCCACATCACCAGTGCTGAACTGTGATTGCTCTTAAAATCCCACATTATTGGCGGCTGAAAGATTTAATGATGATAATTCACCCACTTTTCATTTCAAGTGTTTCTCAATCAGAAAAGGCCAATCAGTGACTATATATGTACTGCGGGCTCATGTCTGTTTTAATGGTAAAATATTTGGAGATTTGGACACACTTTGAGTCAATTATATAAAACTGTTCTAATTTTGCCTTACAAATCAACAGGAAAGCATATGGAACTAGTTCAAGTTTTTAAATTTGAGCTAATGATATTTAAAGTTTTAAAGTCTGCATCTTGCTCACAAAGACAGTTTTTTAAAATTATAAAAAATAGAGTAATATTGTGAAAATAATTACAACTGCATTACAAAACTGATTGTAATTTGACTGTACTTCAATTTATTTAATGTGACTTCAAGGCTCAGCATCATTAATATTTCTAATAAGTAATATGTTGTAATAAGCAAATGGTGTTCAAGTCACATTTCTTGTAATTAATGTTGAAAACAGCTGTGCTGCTTTATGTTTATAGAAATCTTTTAATTTTTAGAACTCAAAATAATTAGAATCAAAGTTCAAAAGAACATTTATATGCAACAGATTTTTTGTTTATCTCTTCTTTTTTGTTTAAAGGGCACCTATTTTACCCCTTTTTTAAGATTTAAGATTAGTCTTTTGTGTCTCCAGAATGTGTCTGTAAAGTTTTTTTTCTCAAAACACCCATCAGATTATTTAATACACTCAGGAATATTGGGATTTCTGCTCTATACACTATGTAGCTGTTTTTGTTGGCTGCGCCTTTAATGCTAGTTCTTCCCGCCCACCGTTCCCATGTACCTGTCAGAGTGTGCCTTAATCTCTGCCTTGGATAAGTTTGATAAACAGCACACTATCAGACATGAAGGAAGCAGATCTCACATAACAATTGTGAGAAATACTACAGTAAGAACTTTCCCAATGATTATTTGATGTATTTGTTGTGGAGTTGCAATGATGAGTCACACACAATGTTGTTAAAAAGTCCACGCACATAGACACAGCGGACACACAGTGTATTTTTGCACGGCAAATTTAAAATTAATACAGGTTAATATCCACTGCTGTATGAATATCTGTTATGTTAATGTACTAAATAAACCGGATTTAATGCCCACATACCGGGATTGAAACATCTTTTATAATTGTACTGACACACGGCTGATGTGATCAAGACAGTAAACTCGCTGTAATTCATTACAAACATGCACTGGTTTTAAATTTGTATAACTCATTCTTGATCACATTTGATGATGATTGATGATCACAGAGAGTTGAACAGATCTTTTGATCCCAGTTGCTTTGTGCACGTTCTGTCTTGTTGATATGATTATTCCAGTACTACAAAGACATGTTAATATGTGGCTATCAATCAATTCGGTGGACTGGGAAACCGCACTCCTACGAATGTCACGTCATGCCAAAATGGGAGGGATTTGGATTCTATTTTAACATCAGCAAATAAAAAAGAGAGACTTACTGTGTTTATAAAACCCCATTATGACTGTGAACACATTATACCTACACGCAGTCCTGTCCAAACAGCTCCCAAAAGATGATTTTCATCATAGGTGCCCTTTAAATCATAATGTTCCCAAACATTTAAACAATAATGTAGCTGTACATTAATAATAAGTAAAAAC